CAAACTTGAATGTTAAATTCCATCATGTTATGGTCACTCTGCCCTAGAGGAGCCTTAACTTCCAGATTGCTGATTAGCCCTATTTCATTACACTAAACAAGATCTAGGATCGCCTGTTCCCTGGTTGGTTCCTCAGCATATTGTTCTAGAAAACTATCTCTAATGCATTCCATAAACTCATCCTCTAATTTACTTTTGCCAATTTGGTTTTCCCAGTCTATATGAAGATTGAATTGACCCACTATTAGTGTATTACCCTTGAGACATGCTCCTCTAATTTCCTGAGTAATACCCTGCCCAATGCTGTAACTGCTGTTTGGGGGTCTATAAACTACTCCCACTAGTGTTTTCTGCCCCGTGTTGTTTCTTATCTCCACCAATACTGACTCTACATCCCGATTTTCTGATTTAAAATCCTTCCTCTCTATTGTTTTTATCTCATCCTTTATTAGCAGGGCTTATGCCCGCCCCTCATCCACCTCATTTCTACATTGCCTATCTTTCCTCTACGTCAAATACCTCGGAATGTTTAGCTCCCACCCTTGATCTCCCTGTAACCATGTCTCAGTAATAGCCACTAGATCATACCCATTTATGAACAGATATAGCAAATATATTGAATGACTAGCTCCTGGGGAGGTTATTTTTTATTAGGAAGGACACTAAGAACGTGCCCCCTAACAAGATCTGTCCTTTCTGAACCTGTGTTGGCTGTCAATTAGTGATTATTTTTATATAGGATACATTGCTTGAGCTCCCGGACTTAATATAAAGGAGGCTGAGATTCTGGATAGGCTCAAAGATCTTAAAACTAACAAATCCCCTGGGCCGAATGAACTGTTCCCCGGGGTACTCAGGGACACAAGGCAGGAGATTTGTGCAGTACTGACAGACATCATGAGGGAGTTAGTCAGGACTGGGGAGGTTCCAACGGATTGGCAGCAAGCAAATGTTGTTCCCATATTCAAGAAGGGCAACAAACTTAATCTGGCAATTAACCTGACAATAGAAAAAATTGAGACATTCAACAGAAAGGAAATGGAAGAATACCTACATATAAAAATAATCTAATATTGTAAGCCAACATGGGTTCAGAAAGGGTAGGTCTTAACTGACCAATCTTAAAGACTTTTTTAAGGAGGTGATGACTGTGGGAAGCCAAATGATGTAGTATATCTAGACCTCCAAAAGGCTTTTGAGTACCACATGAAAGGCTCTTCCACAAACTATGGCTGTCAATAATAATTATAATAATAATAATCCTTGCATTTGATATAGCGCCTTAACACGTCTTTGAGATGTCTCAAAACGTTTCACACAATATACTGTAAAGTGAATTGACTGTATATTTTGTGGGCGAAACGGGGCAGCTATTCGAGCACAGCAGTGTCCCACAAACAGTTGTGGATTGAACTGACCAATTTTTTTTTAACGAATTATTACCCATGGAAAAGCGATCCGCCAATTGACTAACAACCAGGTTCCTACTTACTGCTAGGTAAACGGGTGTGGAGTAAAAACAACAACTTGCACTTATATAGCGCCCTCCACGCAATATTAGAGTTTCGGCGCATAGTGGCTGAAATGGCTACCTCCGATGGTGGGGTGGAGGATGTGAGGGACAAGCAGGAGGTCAGTGCCAATTGAGTGGAGGCGCCAGGTGGTGGATTGGGGAGTGAGGAGGTCGGAGTAAGGAAACTTACCCAACATTTCGCCCTGCCCAGAATCGAACCCAGGTCAATCGCTTGCGAAGTGAGAGCTCTAACCACTGAACTACAGAATTACATTATTATCCTTCAAAACAAACAAGGGCAAGATATGGACATGGATTCAGAATTGGCTGAAGAGGAGAAGCAAAGGCTGCTTGTTAGGAGAGCGAGGTCAAGGTATACTAAGTGGGGTGCTTCACGGGTCTGTACTGGACTCCTCCTATACCTCATTTATATTAGTGACCTGGATTTGTAGATCCAGTGTAAGACAATTACATTTGCTGTTGACAGCAAGTTGGGGGGAACTGTGAAATGAGAGGAGGCAGCAAAGGTCCTACAATGAGAGCTCGATAGGATATACCCATAGGCTGATAGCTGACAAATAAAGTTTAACAGCAGATAACTGTAAGGTACTACATATGGAATCCAATAAAAGAAAACACAAGTGCTCCATGAATGGGATTGAATTTTCCAAGGAGACTCTTTTATGCAGCAACATTCTGGAACCACAGCAACATCTAGTGTTTATGATGCATAATACAGAAAGCCTATTTCCTTTCATGAGCAGTGCTTTCTTTGACCGTGCTCTCAGTCATCTTTCCCGCTGCCTACCCACCTCGACACCCACCACCACCATAGGTCCCACCCAGCAAACGGTTTGAGACATTCTCCAGATGTGAAAGGTGCTATATTAATGTAAATTCTATTATCATATTGTATCCTTCAGGCTAAATGCACCGGGAACTCTCCTATCACAGCATGCAATTGCAGAGACTATGAATCACCTCAAGGAGAAGGGGGTGTCTCTCATTATCCAGAAAAACAACACTCCCGCTAAACTAGTCATTCACTTCATGGCTGTTTCTGCAACCTTGCTCTGAGCAAATTGGGAGCGCATCTGTCTACAAATAGTCGCTACACTAGACTGCAATTACCTGTGAAGCACTTGAGACGTTTCAACATTTGACTATATGAAAAACAAAGATTATTATAAAGTAATTTTCCTTTAAACGGAGAAACTTTTTTTTGAATAGTGCTGTGCGAACTTTAACATCTACCTGAACAGGCAGTCGAAACTTCGGTTTAACTTCTGATTTGAAGGGCTGCACCTTCGACACTGCAGCATTCCTCCAGCATTACCCTGGAGTATCAGCCTAGACTCTGAGTTCAAAGTCCTGACATGCGACTTGTGCCTACAACTTACTGACTCAGAGGCGAACCATAAGCATTTGGAGTCATCCCATTCAGCTCCTGTTAACCCTGCAAGCCAAAGCCCTAACTGGACGGCAATGGGAAAGCTTGCCAAGCAGCGATATCAATGGCAAGCTATGTAGTTTTAGCTGATTAGATTCCAGCAGTACCCCAAAGCATCCTTGGTATCCCCAAGTCTTGGCTCTTGCCAACCTGGACCTAATTAGGTCCAGGTTGGCAATTCTGAAATTAGGTAACCAGGATGTGTCCCTCCAGGGAGAGAGTGCACATTCCATTCCAACAATCTATCTCTGGGATTTCCACGTGTAGGTGGGATGTGTGGAAATCTCAGCTTAGTTTGGATACTCTTAAGCATGCTGATGGGTTTTCACATGTGCCAGACACTCAAAAAGCTGACCAAAAAGCATGAGAGCATGAAAATTTAGCAGATTTGTTGAATTCAGTCTCAACTTTGAACTCAACATTCTCCAGTTCTTAAGACAAATTTACTGAAAACCAACCTCAAAATTAAGATTGAATTTAAGGAAATGCCAAAATCTGAATGCTCTAAAATGCTACACAAATATAGAACCAGGTGGAATTTCTTCCCAGGGGTCTATTATGCACCTTGTTCAAACCACGTTTATGGAGGGAATTATAGCTGCTGTAATTAACAATAATTTTCATTGGTTAATTATACAATTAAGGACACTGTAGTTCCCTCTGTACATGACATAATACACAGGTGCTTACAACAACAAACTACATTTGTATAGCACCTTTCAAGTCAGGAGGATGTCCCATGGTGCTGGACTGTCAGGGATTTGGACCTGAGCAGGGTGTTGGGATCAGGGTGGGTGGAGGGCAGGGAGGGTAGGTTAGCAGGTTGGCCGAAGGCGCGGTCAAAAAGAAGGGTCTTGAGATGTGCTTTGAAGGAGGCAAGGGAGGGAGCAAAACAAAACTGTGGGATGGAGTTCCAAAGGGTGGGGCAGAGAGGCTGAAGGCCCGACCGCCGGTGGTGGAGCGGACGGGGTGTGGGATGTGGAGCAGGCCAGAGCCTGCTGAGCGGAGGGAGTAAACAGGTTGATATGGGGTTAACAGGTCACAGGGGTAGGAAGCAGAAGGTGGTAAAGGGCTTTGAAGGTGAGGACGAGGATTTTGAACGCTGTCCTCTTGGGAATGGGGAGCAGTGGAGCCGGGCAAGGGTGGGAGTGATAGGGTCATGGAGCCTGGTGTGGGAGAGAACACAAGCTGCAGAGTTCTGGATGATCTGCAGCTTGTGGAGGGAAGAGTGGGGAAGGCCGACAAGCAGGGAGTTGGCATTAGTCGAGCCTAAATGTTACACGTGCACTGAAACAGTGCATGATACTTATTGTGATGCTAGTGGGAAAGTATTTCAGATTTAGTCTTGGTTTCTCAACTGCAGACAAGAAATTTGAGATATTACTGCTATCCATCATGCCCGTTTGCAATGGGTTTTAAAAAGGTTGCAAGATTGCAAAGGACGAAGGTTATACAATAATAACAATCCTTGCATTTGATATAGCACCTTACCAAGTCATTGAGACGTCTCAACACGCTTCTCAGAATATATTGTAAAGTGGATTATCTGTGTATTTGTGGGTGAAATGGAGTAGTCAATTGCACATTGCAGTGACTCACAATCAGTCATGGATTGAATGACCACACTTTTTTTTTGGTGGGGTATTACCCCCAGACAGTTATGGATTATTACACAGAATAAGGTTACTATGCACAAAAGAAGGACTTACAGCTTGCTCTAACTCTTCACTGGATCATCAGACCTATCTTCGAAAAGTGTTAGAAAGTCACAAAATCTGTGCGGACTGACAAAAGTACAATACATTTTTGCCATAATTGAGGGCAGTCTTATCAAATGCTAAAGCAACAAGAGTAAACCTACTAAACTCAGAGGCAAATGTCTCGATATATCACGTGCAAGTATATTTATGATCGTAATTTGGGTTTGAAAAGTGGGGCCCTAGATATTGATGTTTTTGCTGTTATGTCAACTTGTAGGTTTACACCCGTAAGACCTTTCAAACTCAAGTAATTTACAACACAAGCATCTTTTCATGCTGAAAACCATTTATTTTTTGTGATATGCAAATGCATAAGTATAAATTTTTTTATTACTATACAACAATTAAATGACATTCACAAAATCCTGTGGTGGAAAAAAACAAGACATAGCAGCTGCAAACACTTTTTATTGCACAGTTCTGACAGCTTAGTTCATATTGTCGTTTTAAGCATCGGTTCAACGATAGCAAGTAATCCTAGCCAACAGGTACAACACACTTAACTTGACCCAACAACACAAAGACAACCAACAAAACAAAACTGGATCCCACACAGTCCCACATTCTGCATACATTCAATAGATTGTTGGTACGTTATGACCAAAACATAAATACTTACAAATACAAGCCTGTGAGGTTTAAAAAACCCTGCACATAGATTTGGTAAACATAACATTGCCACATATATTTATTTACACCTCTGATGCATTTGTAAACGAGTGTTCAATGCTTTAAAACTAGCTAAGAGCACAGATTTAAAAGGTTGCAGAAGAGGCGGTACCTCCCTCACAGAGTGTCTTACGTACCTGGTAATGCACTATCCACATTGCCTCAGCACAATGATGTGCTCTGTCTACTTGTGCAATCCAACTTATCCAGACCCCGNAAAAAAAACTGCCCAAGAAATGAATTGGTTGCTGATCCCTACTATTTTTGTTAACCGTAACCAAAATTATAAATAAAGGTTTTGCAATTTTTTTTTTAAAAAGGTAATTTCCGTTCAGTAGAGTGGTTCTGCCAGTTCCCCGTTCTTTTAACCAAACAAAAAACACTCCAGAAATGCATTTTTTTTAAACCCCAGAAACGTCTCCTTGTTGACAATATTTACATTTTTATTTTGCTTACAATCAAAATGATATTAGGTGAATTGCACACAGCTACTTGATGCATTCAAAAGGAATGTACATTTTAGCATTACCTGCTAAAAACAGCAAGCTTTTCAACTACTACACAACACCTTATTTAAACAGCAACGATTATTAAATGCCACTATTGGTCCTTGTGAAAAATTTGTTACAGATAAAACATCACCACTTCTTAACCATACAATTATTCATGTCACCACAGAGAACAAGCAGTGTTTTACATTCCTTTATGGACAAATTATACCCTCTCTTTCAAAATCTCGAAGTCATTTGTTGCATTGTATCTACAAAGAAGATCTTTTTCATTGGAATACTTCAGACATTCAAGAAATCTCGTACAAATACTATGACAATTCCATCAGTCACTATAAACAAGGCAGTAGGGAGGAGGGGTGGGTGCAGGAAGGGCAAATCACATTCACCCTTGAAAGTACAAATCCAAAGCTTGCTTCATTTAATGAGAAACAGAATATCATGCTTATAAAATAGTGAACATACTATTGTCAGTTTATTGATGCCTTCAGTTTAGCTCACTCCCCGCACCCCCTCCCCCCACCCGTGTTAAGCTCCAGGTTTCTCCGCTATGTCTTCTTAGGTCGACTGTCCTGCAATAATTCCTGCAATAATTCCTTGGACCGTTGCTTCTTGTTGACTGTGTCCATTCCAGGAATCGTACCACAAGCAGAATGGTGCTGCTCAGTGGAGAAATTTGAAGCATCTTTGCCAAGCTTTTCTTTTCTCACAGCGCCTGATTGTTTAGGGCTGCCATGCTCATCGTCCTTCAAGTCCACAGTGTCTTTTCTCTGAGAAGATGCACACCTTTCTGGACTGCCACCTTTAATACTCGAGCCAGCGGACACACGATTGCTTTCGTTCTTGCCACTTCTGAGCTTTATTGAACGTGTCGGACTGCCCTCCTTTACCTCAAGCTTCCTGCTTGCTAGAGCTGCCTCAGGTGGTGTGGTGAGAGAAACATTCCTCGTAACATCCACCTTGGCACAGAGACCATCAATTGTGATGCTCTTTGAAAGAGAGGGAGGCCGTGCTCTATCACTGAGGATAGCTTTCTGGCAAGTCGTGCCCTTTATAGATTTGCTGTGTTCATGTCTTGCCTTTGAAGTGCTTGGACCTGACAAGAAAGCGATATCAAGAGTACCTTCCAGCGGCTTTAAGCATGGAACTGACCTGCCATCCATCTTACATTCAGTCATTTGTCTCGTGATGTTCTCGGTCATAAAACTTAATTGTGCTTTCTCTAAGGCGTCTTCAGTCATCCCACTCACTAGTTTGGGACATTCCGCTAGCGATACGCTCAGATTACTTCGTCCACCACATGGGAGACTGCTGTTTGACGATGCAACACTTTTCTTGATGGATTCAGATTCTTTTTGTTTGTTCAAAGACCTTAGGGCCTTTGGTTGATTGTTGTTAAAGGCAGGAGGAGTCACTTCACTCTTAAGCAATTGTGACAAATCCTTACCAAACTCAGTTTCTCTATAGAATTTTTTACTTCCCAAAAATTCCACATTTGACGTCTTGGCTTCCAACCTTTTGTGAATATTGGACTCCTTGGTATGTTTTCCAGTCCATTCCACACCGTCTCCCTGTCCACAAGATTTGGCTGACTCTACAGAGGGAATATTATGCGTTTTGGAAGGTTGTCCAAATCTCTCAGATTCAAGCATACCTGGAGTGCACCCAGAGTCTCCAGTCTGTGGATCACTTTCTAACACTGAGGCCACGTCAGGACGAGCAATAGAACTTGTATCTACTGTTTTTGAAGAATTTAACGGCAACAAGCTGCTTGTCATACACGGCACATTTGAACTTAGCGTTTCAGTAAACTTTGCATCATCAGTCGTTTCCGAAGCGCACGGACCCTCCTCTACAGTCAAGTGAGCTACACATTCATGCCCAGAGTTTGGTTCCTGCACAGCATCCTGTTTTTGAAAGGATTCCCGTCTTTCGTTCCAGTTGCCTTTCTTCATGACGACTTTTATCTTGAGCTTCTCCTTGTCGAGTTCATCGAGTGACTCCTGTCTCCCTAGTTTCCGCGACGCGGGGCGTTTGAGACAACCCTGTTCCACCAGCCTCACCCTGGTCACAGAGGGTGGCTCGTATGCATTTTCTTCCAAGCTGTGCAAACACAGATCTCTCTGCAAAGCCTCCTTCCTTCCTTCTGTTGGAGCTGTATCCAGGCTATGTTTGCGAGCACACAGCTGTTTCTTATCCGAACCGTAAGATGGGGAAAGTTTCTCGGCTGACTGCACTCTCTTTAATAGAGGCGATCGCGGAGGCTCTGCGCTTTTAGGACGAACCATGTGTCTCAAAATGGTTGGTGGCGAGTGCATTTTTGCAGGAAAAGTCTGGGCCATTTTTGAGCTCCCAATGGAGTACCCCAGCAAGGGGGACGGAGACCTCTGGGGAGATGTTGGCTGGGGTGTAGGAGAGGGGGTTCGTGCCAGAGGGGACAGGGGGATACTGCCAGCTGATTTCCGCCTCCCAGATCTGTACCTCGGTCCGCCAAGCTTTGGGCCCAATCCATGGAGAGTGCTTGGTCTAACATGCCCAGAGCCAGCAGGGGAATTCGGAGCACTTGAGCTGGGAGAACTGCTTTGTGAGGAATTTGTGCCTGTTCAAACATTAAAAAAAGTGATTGTCGTTGTCACGCAATGTTACAGCACAGCAACAGGATATTCAGCCCATATGCTCTGCGCTAGTTTTTCTTTTCACATGAACAGCCTAACTCAATCCCATTCTTTTGGTTACATCTTTAAACCCCCTCCCACCCCAATATTCTTTTGACTCTTTTACCCAACTCCACTTTAAAATAACTAATGAACCCCACTTTCTAACAGTAGCTTGTGGGAGAGAATTTCATCCTCACTGTGTATTTTCTTGGATTTAAACATGGCAAACTCAGTTCACATGTTTTTACGTTACTTAAATGTAGAAAAAAATACCAATTAACAAGGCTCATCATTGTTTCNAAAAAAACATTTAAGTAGCTGTTTGGAAATAGTATTGATATAGTATTGCATTTTATATTGATATAGGGGTGCAGGGGTGCAGATTTTTATAATTATAATTATACAACTTGCATTATCATGTCATCGAAATGTCTGAAAGCATTTCACAGGCTTTTTACTGTTTTTGTTTAGTAAAGCCAATTTGCACATACTGGTAATGGCAAGATTCTTTACATTATTTGATACCTCCTTAAATGAATACATTTCCAAAATCGATTTTAAATGCAGAATTTAGAGACTCACTGTTTGGGAAATCTTTTATAACCTCAGTACACAAGACTCAAATACCCAGTTAGAGGAAGAGACAAGCCTTAGCAGAGTAGCTTGTGGTCAGCAGGGTCGGATTAACCAATAAACCAGGTAAGTAAACCATGATTTAGGATCCTGAGGCCTGATATTGTTGATGCCTTTACCTCCCGTCTGCGCCTCCCTTTCTGTCGGTCTCTGCGATGCTTGCCTTGTATGATCAACAGTAACCAATACCTGAAGCTCAATCAGCTCAATACTTTAGCAATTTCCGAATTTAAACTACATATTACACCCAAGTGTCTACACCAATTGTGGCAAGCAGTGTTGTTGATGACACTGAAATATCTAGTCATTGCTGGCTTTTTCTGAATCAGTTAACATACCTAACATCCCTTATCCCTGGTAATGGATGATGACTCCAAGAGGCACATGGTTTCTGCTCATTGGCGAGGTCACCAATAGGGCCTAGTGATAGAGGTTGTGTGTCTCACTGAATAATCTCTCGATAGGAAATTTCAGATTATATAGTTAGGTTATTTCCTTCTCTATCTAACGTGCAGAGGTTTGAACAGGACTTTCTACAAATCAGTACAGTATATACCTTTCAGTATTCATATACACAAAATACAGCGCACATACAGCGCATCTTTCACACTTCAATGCACTTCACAATACCGACTAAGCATCTGAGCAGGGAGTGGGAGCCAGGGGGGTAGGGGTGGAGGGAAAAATGATTGAAAGTCCATTCAAAGAAGCACATTTTGACACATGGCTTGAAAGAAGGGAGCGAGTCGGAGGGACTCTGATGGAGTTTCAGAGACAAGGGTAGAATGGCTGAAAGTCCACCTGCCGATGGTTGGACAGTAGACCGGAGGACAAGAAGGCAGGCCGTTGTTCACTGAGCAAAGGGAGTGGCAGAGTCTGTGTGGTTGAAGTAGTTTGTAGAGGTGTGTGCCGGTGTGGGTGGGGGGCAAGACTGTGGAGGGATTTAAATATGAAAAATGGTAGAGGTAATTATATTCCCTCTTGATCTAAATTCAAATAAATGGGTGACTTGTCTTGTTCTGTGTAGGACATCCCTGGCACAAATTAACTGCCGGTTTTGCCTAAATAAACCATTACAGTTATTTTGTGTTATTGAAAAATATTTTCTCTAGACTATTACTCCTCTCGAATACCCAACTGCTTCCTGTTTTTTTTATTGAATCCATTTTATTTGCCTCAAGTGTCAAATTTGGATGCACAGTCAAATCGCATGATTAAAAATCCACAGTCTGGAGAGGAAGGCACCAGCCAGCTCTCATTCACATGCCGTCTGGACTTGCTTCTTTATCTTGTTAAACAGCCATCTGTCCTGACCATGAGAGCAGAACCAGAGAGCATGGGCTTAAAATGTAATAACACTCAAGCAAGACGAGAGGCTTGAAGAGACTTGTTTCTCTGACACTGCATAAAATATGGCACTGATGGCCAATAAAAACAGTCGTTATGATGTAGATTCAGTTCTTTTAAACAATTAACTGGATAGGCATCAGTTTTGCATCTGTGTTGGGAGACACCGAGATGAACAAGTACTTCACAGTACAGGATGAGCTAAAATGGTGGAGATGCAGAAATATTTAGAAAATTATTACCTTTGGGTTTCAAGGAGAGCCATAGCTGATTAATGCAAGGTAGAAGTGAGGCACTTTAGACCTTTTTCACTGCTTGTGTATACAGAGCCTGCGATCTCACTTTCTGTAAAGTGTCTGGTTTCCTCCGCGAAAGGAAAAATCATTGGTTCATTGGTTCACCGTCAATCTCACTTCCTGCTAACTGCACAGGTGCAAAGCAGGAAGTGATATCGAAAGTGACCTGATGAACCAGAAGTCGTTCATTTCTTTAGCACGGGAAGCTAAAAACAGCCAGCTTCTGGGCCAGTAAGATTTTGTGGATCCCAAACATGAACATGTGTTTTATCAGGGCTCCACTTACGCGATTAATCGATCTTCAAAAGTCTTGTAGTATCTGTTAGGAGCAAACTGAACACTCACCAGATTGAAAATCGGGGGCTGAGCGGAAGCTTTGCGTCGGTGACCTAGGAGATAAGCTGTGTGTGGGAGAGCCAGGCAGGCTGTCGCTGGAGGAAAGGGAACGGTTCAATGACGAGAAACTGCGGCTGGTGTGGAGGATGGAAGGCTGCTTAGCAAACTTTTTGAAGATTGATCGCCTCCTGCTCGGAAGGAATAGAAATCGACTTAATCTCATCTGCTTTAAAACAAGTGGTTTAATAATATTCAAAATAAACTGTCCATTTGCATAGAGTGCCTTTCACATTAGAAGAGTTCAAAGTGCCCCATAGGATATACTGCAAAGTGACTGTGTATTTTCAGACTGTGTACTGGTGAACATGGCAACCAATTTGTACACAACATAAATGGAGATGAACTGAGGATGCAAATTTATTTGGGGGATTATTGGCCAGGACACTGGAAGAAACTCCCTCCTCTTTGAGAAGGGATAGGATATTTAATGTCCACGTGAAGAGGCAGACGGGATCTCAGTTTAACGACTCATCTAAAGGATGTCACCTCTGGCAATGAAGTAAAACCCCTTCAATGGAGTGCCAGATTAGACTATATGAGTCTGAAGTCCTGATGTGAGGCCTGAACCCATAACCTTCTGACTCAGAGGTGAGAGTACTACCAACCAAGCCAGGATAACCCATTAAATAAAGAAAAGCTGGAAGCCGAAACAACAAATACCTTTCTTGACCTTCTTTTTTTTTGGTTTTCTTACTTCGCCTCATCATTCTGCTCTTGTAGCTGTGTCTCCGTGCAGGCCCAGTTCTAATAGATGTATTCTCAAACGGAGTGGTTATGATAGCAACTTTATTCCCACTCTGTTGAGCAAAGCAAGATGAAAACACCAAATGTCAGGCAAAGGCGTTAGGGGACACAATTCTATGCCACAATCAAAGCTAATATTTTGTGCTATAAATGTTCAAACCGTGGTGTTAAAATGGTTAAACGGTATTCACATATACATAATGGGGAGGGCCTAATTTGGGGACTTCACAGAAAGTAAATGCTGCAGATACCTGGTGCCTTACACTGAGCCACTGGGACTCTGCTTGGATGCTGGTCACAGGTTTAGTTCTGTGATGTGAGACAAGACTAATTGGGCGAATGCCTGTTTTTGTGCCATATGACTATACATAAATACCTGCAGGATTCACTATTTACAAGTAAATTTGCAATTTATACCATTGAATCCCCATTGTGTATACACACACACGACTTTATACAGTCGGGCAACAACAACTAGCTTTTATATAGTACTCTTCACACACAATTGGGTCTCGAGCCCTGCACAATGATGCCGTTGGATGCCGAGCAAGGGAGAAGGGGGAAAAGTCTTAAGATAATAATAATATAATATACATTTGATATAGTGCTTTTCACGCCTTCTAGACATCTCAAAGTGCTTCACAGAATATACTGTAAAGTAAATTGACTGTATATTTTGTGGGCAAAACGTGGCAGCCAATTGCGCACAAGATGGGATTTAACACGGAAGCATTCGGGTCCTTAAAACTGGACCCTGCATTATAACAGGTCATGTTGTAGATCGGGCATCGATGAGCACTTCCAGGTCAACAGATCACCAATGATATCGCTGTTGACATCACCAAACCACGCTGTGTACAAGAGTGATAACCACTCGGTAAGAATTTCCAGTGTTTGTGAGTGTTTGCTGGGACACCTGCAGGTTTCCTACACTGGACACCAGAGTGTTATACTGCGGGTTCACAGTGTGCCTATGATATATATATATATATGCATCCATACGGATAGGGTGCACTGTCAACAGAGCTGAATCAGAGATACAATTACTGAACAGTTCTACCAGTTACATGCTGAACATTTGATAAGAGCTCCAGGTTCATCGGTTTGTGTCGGTGTGAAACACTGAAGCTATTTGAGAAATGGAGTGATTGGATATGTCTGATGTTCAGCACGTCCCTGTGGAATCATCAAATATAGATCGTTTTGATGTTGCTGCCAATGGTTTGAATTCCACCACACACAGTAAACGGGGTAGGATTCTAGCACCCGGCATCGTACAGTATTTCAGAGCCTGTGACATAAATGGGCCAATAACCTAGCGCTGCAGCCTAATTTGAGATTGTACTGAAATGGTAGCAGACAAGTTTGCGATGGCAGGTGAAGAATTTATGAAGGTACTTGGCACCTAGTGTGGGTGGTGTGCATTACTGTACTTTAATAGGGCTATTAAGCTGTCAAGAGTACAAAGCATAAAGATGGATGGGAGATAGCTCTCTTAAACTTTGAGTAATAAAGGAATGGGATAGGGTGTATTTTTAAGGTTTAAATACTTCCAGATTATATTCTTTTTAATGAATTCTAAAACCGACAGTAAAATATTAATCTTTTTTGAACTGCCCGTTGAAATCGAGAAGGTTTTTAGAAAGAAAACTTCTTTGACGTTTGCTTTCCAATGCACGTCCTCCACATTGTGCATGTCAGTCACATCACATGAACCCAGACAGGGTACGCACTATTTTGGATTCAGTCAGTTTCGTAACAGATGGAACAACAGTTTAAATTATCAAACAGCGTGAAATTAATTAAGTTTCAGACACTACCTTAAACCATTCCACAAAGCAGCACATGTCCTGTCAATTAGCTCTTTGTTTATTAAAAAAAAGTGACCTAACATGCAGTTAACTCACAAATACATTGCCCTTGTTGTGAACCCAGTAACCGCAGGGAATGCTCTTCAGCGTGGAACATGTGCATCTAGAATTTCTGTAAGTATTACCTTGACAAGAAGCTCCACCACCTCAGTGTGAACAAGGCCGTGGACTGGCTCGCCATTTACATGGGTAATGAGGTCTCCGGCCTTCAATCCTGCCACATGAGCCGCACTCCCTTCTTCAACATTCTAGCCCACAAGAAACACAAAGATCAATAACTCACAACGACAACGTGTATTGATACAGTGCGCCTCACAAGGGATAGCGTCTTGCAGTGTTTAACAGTGACGAGGTTCGACGCCGAGCCAAGTAGAGATGGGAGGTGTCCATAGGCACAACGTTTTATTACAACCAAAGTGCAAAATTCTAAAGAACGTCCTGTCGCTCACTTACCCAAACAATATGGTGAACTGTGTAAATGTCACTGTCACCCACATAGACCCGAATTGCTCGTAGTGTAAAACCGTACTTCTTTCCTGAGCTGTAGATAATTATTGGAGGTTTTGGGCTTCCAGAGCTTGTGGAGGAGTCCCGACTGGGGGATGAATCCCTCGATGAAGGATCGGAAGAGAGGGAATGTGGGGAGATTGGACTGGCCAGTGGAGATGCCCCAAAAACATCTGAAATGAAAGTGTCTAGATAGTGAAAACAGCACACGCATACACTAACTTAATAAATTAACTTAATTAATGGCAAAATGCTAACTTAATAAATAGGAGAGTGAATCAATTTCACAGCAACAAATTTGGACACCAGCTCTTACCTAGTAGTGGAAATTGAAGATCGGGTGGTGGGGGGGGGCTTCTATTATGTAAAGTAGGCAACTATTTTATTTTGGTTGGAAAAATATGAAATTGCAGATTCTGGTTTCTGTTTTTCTCTGCACTAGATCTTCATCCCAATGTTTTCTCAATCCTGAGGTTTGAGTGCAGATTGATGGTACAGAACGTTCTCAAGATTATCCTCAGCAAATCTCACTCTTTCCCCTCTGGTGCCTCATACTGAAGATCATTTCCACAAGACAGTGGCCACCCTCTGGGCCCAGGCACAGAGTGCTTGGTGAGGCCATGGGGTGAGCATTGGCAAATTAATTGGCTGTGAGAAGGATTGCATGCAAGTCCAATGTCGATCCCTGCTGGAAAGCACGAGTTTCTTTGGGAGTAAATTATCTCAGAGCTGTCTGTCTGCAAAAACACTACTTAATAAAGTGCATCTCGGTTTCTATGAAATGTTTACTTGACTGGACATTAAGTTGGAATTTTATTTAATGTGCTTGTCCATCTGTGTGTAAACTCACGTAAAACAAAAAAACGACTGCATTTATATGCGAGTATTACAGAAAGCCACTAGCCTGTATTGTACATGCTGGGACTGCGTTACTAATTACCATACCTGCTGGGATCATGAGGGAGAGTGCGGTGGCGGAGGCTGATTTGATCACTTTGCCTGTTGTTCGCTCTTTCTCTGTGCTTTCTAATCGCTGACGGGCCAACTGGGAAATGTTGTCACTTGCAGCCTTTGAAGAATTATCTGCACTTTCCACACAGTCACTCCTGGTATTAATCTGATCCAGATGCTCTGAAAAACTACCAACTGTACAACAAGAAACACATTTTAATCAATGCGCCTCCAATCATTATTATGCGTGGTTTAGAAATGGGAAAATAAAAACTGCAAATGATTGACACTGAATTAGACAATAAAGGCAGGATGCCTCTCCATTCTGACAAGATCTCGAATTATAATATCCCCAAATGAGTTTGAGAATCAGTTAATTAAATGGCACATTTCTATAAATTCACTCCTTAATATTCCCTCTTCCCAGATAATATTAATAGAACATTCTCAGAATCCACTTGTATAACATTTGCAGTGTAAATTCGACAAGACAACATCTGAAGAATGCACATCTGTTCACTTATCTACACACAGTCGCTCCACTTTAAAACAGACTCAATGAGTGAAGCTCTGTGAGACGTTCCAAGCCAAGAAACTGTGTCAAATCAAGTGTGGCTATTGTTTAATTTATGCGGCCTCTTTCCTTGAAATCCTCTGCTTCTGAAAGCTTCGCTGAATCAAGATGGACACATTTCCCTCTCTCTCCCCCTCCCCCCCACCCAATTTTCTAGATCAATGAATTCATATCTTACAAAAATTAACAAGCCTCGCAGAGCCTCAGGCAATACTGAGGAAGTGAGGAAAACAGTCATTTCAGCATAGGAAGGAAGCCATTCAATCTGCCATGTTTTATCCATGGTACCTTGCCACTCGAGTTATCCACTCTCATCCCTGCTGTTCCCCATGCGCTTATATATGTTTAATCTAAACATGTTCCAACTCTGCTTCAATAGAAGCTTAAGATAATAAATAGATCCACCAACCTAATAACTCATTTTTTCAAAAAAAATCTGTTTTTGAAAAGAAAAGAATTAGGGGAAGAATGGTCAGCAGAGGGGGGTTGGGTTGGGGAGGGGGAGAGAGAATTCGAGAATGAATAAGCTGTGTTAAAATAAAAAAGACTTTAGGATTCAATTGGTTCTTTAACAATTACAAATCGCACTTAAACGTTCTGGGGAGCTCAATGCAGCTGGATTTTAGGAGACAGCAAATGGAGTCACATTGCTTGCAGTTATATTTTTACTGGTGAGTGAATGTCCATAGGGTGGGCAAGGCAGGTGGGCTCCAGCACAATCCTCTCACAACTACATCTTTCCGATTTTCACTCTATTTTTCGCAGCAAATCAGCTGGGAATGTATAGTATAAGAATAAGAAATGTAACCAACTGAGTTATATTTTGCTTTCAAGGCTCATTTCAGACCCGCTCCTTATAAATTTAAAGTAAATCTGAACGTTTAAGCCAAGTTCAATAAAAACATTTCCAGTGAAAATGGTTCTAAAACATGGTACAACTTCTAAATTTTTAATTGACTAGGTTTCGTCAATTTTAATGATCAACGACTATTGAAATACTGGAGATGGACAGTATATTGTGTTAAATTGTTTATCCAGTTCCAATTGAGGTTGATAGTAGGAACCGGGAGATGGAGCATGCCATTCAGCATCTTGAGTCCTTTACACATTGTATTATTGTTTATATTTTATGGACGTGGACAGCAATCAGCGGAAAGCAATCTGGTACCTGAAAGGGTGGAGCCGCTGATTGTGCTGGGAGTGGTAACGTCAGTCTCATCCTGAGATGTCCCGATAGAAAACATGACCTTGTCGTGCCCTCTGTGAGAATCTCCCTGTGACAGAGAGTCATCCTCTTCAGCAGAAATAGCGAAGCTCGGCAGCAGTCCAGAGCGCCGATAACAGTTGTTACTCTCAGGACTTGAGGAGTGGGACAGAGACAGGTGCTGCCTGAAGACAGCAATAAAGACGTGAGATACATTTCAGAACATTATAGCAAACTTTGCAACTAAATTAATTGTTGTGATAAACCTCACATTAAGGCTATTTTTCGTGCTCTGACTTACACAGGCTGGACTGAACTTCATTACTTTATACCACAATTATATGCAGCTTCACAAATTATGGGAAATAAATGTGCTCAATGGGGTTATCCCTTTGAAGAAAAATAAATTAAAAAATAATAAAAAATTGGTCACTCAATCCATGACTATTTGTGGGACACTGCTGTGCACAATTGGCTGCCGCATTTTGCCCACAAAAAAAGTCAATTCACTTTACAATATGGTCTGTGAAGCGCTTTTTTGAGACGTCTTGAAGATGTGATAAGGTGCTATATCAAATGCAAGCATTATTTTTATTATTATGAATAATTTCTGATGCCTGTTCTAAAATTGCCCTTCACAACTCTAAGGCTGTGTCCTCTTGTTCTATTGTTTTGGTGCATCTGAAAGTATTGTTTACTTTTTCAATCCAATTTAAAATGTTATATAGCTCTACAAGGTCACCAATGGGACATCTACTTTCAAGACTGAAGAACCCTAACTTAGATATCTATTCACTGTTTACAGTTCAATCCTCTAACACTGGGAATTATTCTCATTGCTCTCTCTCTCTCTTTCATACACATCCTCTAGGGTCTGGATAGCCCCCTTATGTTGGGGTGACTAGAACTGTATGTAGTACTCTAGGTGTGGTCTGACCTATGTAGTTTGGCTTTATCTTCTGGGGACCTCAACTGATTTGGCAATATCTGGTTGTATTGTAACGATGAAAACAAACCTAACTTTTTAAAAGCTTATCAAGCACTAGGAACATGGATGCAAATGCACACGTACTCAAGTGCACACATGCAAAATCAGCAGAGTGTGATCCATGCCAGAGATAGCACTGCTACAATTACCAATGATTTACAGTATGCGCCAGCTGGACACTTTGCCTGCAATTAAACTGGGCTATCACTGGGCAGACACGCTAAGGGCTCAGTGTTATTAAACAGTGAGAGCAGCAGCATCTTGCTGTGATGATGATGTTGTTCAGCACAGTAAATTAGCCCCACAATTTGTTTCTGTCTGTCCCAATCAGCGCTAATACAAGACTTCAAAGATACAATAGTAATAATCCTTGTATTTGATACAGACCCTTATCACGTCAAGGAGACGTATCATAGATCTTTACTGGATAAATACTGCAGAAGTGGCAACAGTGTAGAAACAGACAATACCACACCAACCAGATCATCAGCAATCAGTATATTACATTATAGAAAGAGGCCATTCGGCCCATTAAGTCTGTACTAATCTTTTTTCCACAAATGAGCAAATTAATCTTATGCCACTCTCCTACGTTCTGCCCCTTAATCTTTAATATTTCTCTTTTTTGAGCATTTATTTAATTCCCTTTCAAAATAATTAATGGGCTTTAATTCAAATAACACTCCAGTGCAGTGTTGGGGGTGGGCTGCTGGTTACAGGGGTATTGTCTTTCAGATGAGGTCCCATTCGGCTGTTCAGGTGAACTATAAAATGCTATTCAAAAAAAGAGATGGGAATTTCTCACAATATAACTTTTGTTTTCTGAAGTCCCTTTTAATTCTTGTTTTGCTTACCTTAAATTTGTGCCACTCCTTACCAACACGCTCACCAATGGAACTAATCTATATTCTCAATCAGAATCCTTCGATCTTCTCCTACCCAACACCTCTGCTCATCGAACTTACTACACGTCGCCTGCCCTCTCTGAGCACAAGCGGTGGCCAATCCTTCAGTTTCTACACCTCTTAACCAGTGGAACTCCTCTCTCTGTCTCGGCCCATCTCTTTCTGTTTTTAGTCGCACCTCAAACCTTGCCTCTTTGAACACGCCTAAGGCCACCCTCCCCTCCCTTGCTTGGTGTTCAACCCCATCTCTGTAAAGTGCTCCGAGACGTTACCCTATGTGAAGGCCGCTATATAAATGCAAGTTGTTGTTCTTATTGACATAATTGGGCAAATTGGCATCAGGTCTGCCTTTAATCTTCTCAGTGCCAACTTATCAACTCTCTTCAATAATGAAAATTATCGTTGGTGGATATGGCCCAGAGCTGTACCAATAGCACTACCTGGCTCATTACTGTACGATCAGCATTTTTCATGGCCCATTTAATTTTGCTATTTTTATGCGAAATTAAATGGCCCCTGAAAATGTTTTTACTCACAATTTACCTGTAAAGCAGGTAGCAGATGCGGGTTTGCATGAAAATAAAGGAATAAAAATGGTGCTCTGTGGCGCAAAAAAACGCTGAAAATAGTGATTCTCTAGCAAATAAACATAACAAATAATGATAATCCTTGCATTTGATATACTGCTGTACCTTAGGTCAGACATTAAATCGAGGTCTGCCTGTTCAGATTGGCATTAAAGATCCCATGGCAGTATTCAAAACAAGAAGGGAGTTTCTCCCCAACAGTATCCCAGATAAATTTGGTAATTCACTTCAAGGCTGTTTTTCGGGACATTACAGTGTGCCTCGTTTGCCTACAAAATACACAGTCACTACACTTAATGGTAAATCATGTAGAGTTTAGAAATGTCCCCTCAACGTGAAAGGTGCTATATTAAATGCAAGGATTTATTATTATTATTTTACCACCTTATCACGTTGTTGAAACATGTAAAAATGTCTCGCTGAATTTACTGGAGAGTGCAGTAACAGTGTACTTTGTAGTTGAATGAAAAAGAGCTTTAGTTATGTCTCCTGTCACTCAAAATATAATAATAATAATTCTTGCATTTGATATGGTGCCTTATCATGTCTCAAAGCGCTTCACAGAATATACTGCAAAATGAATTGGCTGTATATTTTGTGGGCGAAACGCAAATGGTGCCAATATAACATTTATTTGCTGCCATTTTTGCTACAACTCAAAGCAATACAATATTATGAAGCGTTCTTTTACAAACTATTGTCGTTTCAAATAGATTACCATTAATCCCAGTGTTCCTGCCCCTCCCCCACCAATTGATTCACACCTGAAAACATTCTCTGTTTGAGCAGTTATTTCAGTGTACATGATCATGGGCACTGCTCTGGAAAGGTCTCTGAGGTTGATAACCTGGAGGGCCCTGAGCTAACGTACAGTTAATGGTAAAGTGTTCTCAAGTTAATGATTACCTTTATTGATGTTAAAACGTCAGCCTCACTGACTCCTGCTTTAAAGTGACCAACACGAACTGTTTAAAGGAAAACAATTCCTTCTTCTGCACATAAAATAAAAATGGAATAAAACAAATTGGGGTAATTTTTTTAAAAAAGGGAAGATTAATTTGGGGATCAAATTCTCCTTGTGTTCTTTTGCTGGGCCAGACAGCAGCTCTCTTCATCCAAGTCCAGCACTGCTCCAGCCACAGGTATGAGAGATCTGCGGGATCTCTGCTCCCTACGACTGATGTCCCCCCTGATGCAGTTTCCCGCTCTCCTGCCTGGAAAGGCCTTTACTCATCATCATCACCAGTTTACAGTGGGACAGAAGCAACTTTGGGGACGTGGTCATGATACCACATCGTACCACTGGGTGGCAGCACACCTTCTAACTGCGCTGTAATTGCAGAGCAAAAAAATGCCTATTGTAAATCATGATCCTTTTAAGCATTTTTTTAAAAAATCGTGTTCTGATGGTCAGCCTTTGTGCTTTCAACTAAGTTTAATAGCATGGAAAAAACATTCTCACCTGCCAAAGATGTCAGGATCACCTTCAAACATATTGTGCGAATATAATCCAGCTCTAAGTCTGAACAATGTGAACCTCCCCATCAATACCCACATTTCTCCCCCCGTTTCCTACATCCTGAATTGTGTAAGTGGTTAGAAATTGCCTGGATCTTGAGACAACCTCTCCTGAGGGATTACACAGTTCACTGTAAATGCTCAGTTCATTAAAATGTCAAACCAAATGAACAGCTACAAGAACTGAATGTGCAGATTAATAATACTGCAATAACAACAACTTGCAATTATATAGTGCCCTTCAATCAGGCAGTATCTTGGAGTGCGTATTTACATTCACTTACATTTACTGATACTTACATTTCAGAGTATTCAGGAGTCCAGGTGAGTGATTCAACATGCAGTGTATTGACATTTTTTACTCTGTCTCCAGCAGTATCCTTCTCATCCCCTTGTATCCTCTCAGTATACTTTTTCTCATCAACATGCGATATTCGGTCCATGCTTTTGTAAACCTTAAGATGTAACAAGAGAAGCCATGTAGTGGGCAATGTTTTCAGCTATTTTAATGGTTAGAAAACATATTCATACAGAATGATTGCACAGCAGAGATCCTCTAGGGAATCAAAACTAATTCTCAGCAGACCATTTTGCAGAGACAAACGCAATTTCAAGTAAACCTTTCAATTTCCAACACAGCAACGATTTCCATTTATATACCACCCTTCACATAGTCTCGGAGCACTTTAGAAATAAAGGGGTTAGACACTGAGCAAGGGGCAAGGGGAGATCGCGGTTGGTATGGTCAAGGAGCTAGATTTTTAGGTAGGATTTAAAGATAAATAGAGAGGGGTAGGCAAGATTCAGGAGTAGAGGGAGAGGGAGCTCCAAAGGTCAGGAGCAAACAACCCCTTTATTATAGAAATGTTCAGTGTTTAAATTGAAAATCTGTATCAATAAAACTGACAAGAGGAATGTGATCTGGTTCTCTCTGAACAACAGACTTGGGTGTCCCAGTTCTTCAAAGTGAACAATCACTATGTGCCATCAGGTGCCCTCTTTACAAGGTACTCCTGGCATGGTCTGTACTAATCCTCAATTCTATGTCTGATCTGGGACTGGGAAAGTGTTTCTGTGCTGAACCAGTATCCACAGGTCTCTCTGAATTTGAAAATAAAATCTTAATAGCTTGGAGCCTGAATGGCTTTCCAGAGAATATGCCGTTCTCATCAAGCCCTGAAGCATGCAGCAACTCAAAGTTGTGAGACAATTGGGACAATGGAGGTCAGTGCAGGCAGGTGCTCCGCGAATCAGCCACTGTCACTGATCTGTGATATTCAATGCAGGTTTTGAAATGAATAAAAAGGCATTGGAAACTGAGATACAGTCAAACTGAACTGAATGAGGTAGGCCGATATCCAAGGTGGTTTTAGTGATTTGATGCAAACACAAAGCCTCACAAAATGTTCACCCGTAACTTCTTTACAGAACTAATGAAGGATAGTATGGACTAAGCACTGATATTGGATGGAAACATAGGAGCGTACAAGACGGGAAAAGACCATTGCAGTCCATCTGGTTAATCCCAAAGAAATGCTGTTAATATTTGTACATTACCATCTCCCATACCCCTCATTTACATTCTTTGCCAAATAGTTATCTAACTGCCTCTTGAATTTGCTGATGAAATCTTCCTCCACAGCCTCCCTGGGTGTACAATTAAGATGACTCTTAGCACTACGGCTGCTCCAGTTCTGGTTAACTAAACCAGTGCGGATCAGGGATCGAATCTTGAGCTCCTCCTGACAAGCAGGGCTCAATTCCACAACACAGAATCCAATTACCTGCTGAGGCAGCAGGAACTCTAGCACATTTCTTTGACTCATCAAGATATAAATCGACTGAAGTATAATTTACTCAAGCACGAATTGTGCATGCAACTAAAAACTACTAAGGAGGGAATTTTAGCAAATTACTGTACATTGAATGGTATCTTAAATTAGAAAATTAATTAGAATCCATACTTCAATATGTGTCTGCAATGCATTCAAATACATTAAAAGAGCAAAATCTATCAACTGTAATAGCTCCAAATAAAATAAGATAAAAATATGTTCTTTGATGTCACTCACTTTGTTAAATCGATGGGAGCAGGAAGAGAACTGTCTGATTTCCAGGTTAAAATCCTCCTCATTTGCCTCATCCTCTTCCTCAGTTTCCATGTGATGGTATCTTTCAGATCGAGCTACATACATTGTAAAAGGAAGCGAAAATTAACATTACATGCAAGTGCCACTTGATTTTACACACAAAATGAAGGTTTCATAAATGATCAATAAATAATAATCCTTGCATTTAGTACAGCGCCTTTCTCATCAGGAGAAGTTCCCAAAGCCCTTCATAGAATGTACTGCAGGTGTAGTAACTGTGTTTTGTGGTCGAAAGCGGCAGGCAACTTGCGAACAGCAATGTCCCACCATCAGCCATGAAGTGAATGACTAATTTTATTTGGGGGATTGTTGGTCAGGACACCAGAAGAAACTTCATTTTCTTTTGCAAAGGTGCCATGGGATCTTTAACATTCACCTGAACAGGTAGACAGACCTCGGGTTAACATCTCATCTGAAAGTATAAGACTTCCGACAATGCAGTTCACCTCCAGCACTGCACTGGAGTGTCATCTTAGATGATATGAGTTCCAAGTCCCATTGTGGGGCTTGAACCCACAATCTTCTGACTCAGAGGCAAGTGCTACCAACTAATCCAGACTGGCACACAATAACTAGGCACAGATATCCAAAACGCACATGTAGAATAAAAATAAACACGATAAAGCAGATCAATATCAGAGAATCATACAACCTTACAACACAGTAAGAGGTCATTTGGCCTATTGCATCTGTGCTGGTTCTTTGAGAGAGCAATCTATTCAGTCTCATTTACTTGCCTTCTCCCCCATATCCCTACGAATTACTCACTTTTACATATATATCTGATTTCCTCTTGAAAGTTAATATGGATCTTGCTCTGACCACCTCACTCAGCAGAGCATTGCACATCCTCTGTGTAAAGTCATTCCTCCCAATCTATCCCTTTAGTAATCATTTTAAATCAATGTCCTCGAGTCAATGACTCACTGACCAGTGGAAAATTAACACTTTACTGATGCACTTGGTTTAGCGCCTTTCACCTCGGGAGGATGTCCCAAAGCTCTTCACAAAATATACTGCAAAGTGTAGTGACTGTGTGTTTTGTTGCCAAACTGGCAGCCAATTTGTAAACAATAACACCAACAGCCATGAAGTGAATGAATGATCAATTTCATTTGGGGAATGCAATTCAGCAGTGCAGCTTTTGAAAGAGAAATTATTTCAGCGCTTAAACTTCTACCATCTTATTTCACTTACTGTCAAAATAACTGGTATCATCCTCAGACTCCAACTGAGGAATGAATTCTGCTTTCTGCCTGAGCAACCCATTCCAGTCCAGCCCATGGAAGAAATCATGCTGCTTTACCTCATAGGCACCACCTGGTGGAACAAGAGAGTGAAGGATTCAAGGAAACATGAAACATATACAGAGAATAAACTATTCAGATTCAAACACTATAAATATTAAAACTACTAAAGTGTACATCAATCATGCTGACTTATTGAGTCTGTACCTAAGATTAGCTAAAGAGATTATATAACCTCATCTCATGGTTACTACTGTCAACTTATCAGATGAGACTTAACAGGTTTGGTGTTTTTATTATTTTACTTGTAATAAGCAAAACTTTCTGTGAAGCCAGGCTGAATAAAGTTCCTATTGTATGTATAATAAAACTTATTTTTATTAGGTTCCCTGTAACCTCCACCTCCTTTAAAGCGATCGAGACTGATCTGTGAAAATGCATCCCAACTGCACTAAAAATAATAAAATAAATCTTGCATTTGGTATACACCTTTCACATTGGGAGGATGTCCCAAAGTGCTTCACAGGATTTACTGGTAAATGAAGTGACTGTCTATTTGTGGATGAACGTAGTTATAGTTCCAAGGGATACAGTTACTACTATACTGCCAAGTGCATAAATTACCATTTTACAAAAGATTTTACTAAGCAAGCTTGACGGTGAATTCATCTGGAGTAACATTGTCAAATAAAGTTCAATACAGATAAATATAAGGCTCTACATATTGGAAGTAAAAAGGACCATTATTCTGTGTACGGGATAGAATTTGTTATAGAGAGAATTGAAACAGACTTACAAACTGCATTAACTAACTTATCAATTACCAAATAGAATAGGTAGCAATAAACAAAGAAAACTGGATGCTGAGCTGCACTGCCAAATAAATTGAGTTGAAATCCTAGGAATTCATGCTCAATCTGTACAGTACTTTGGTTAGGTTGCACCTAGAATACCACTTACAATTCTGATCATTGTGATAAAAGGTGCTAAGCCTTAGAGGCAGTGTAGATGAATGAGCTATGAGGAACCCTTGATAATCTAAAAGCTTTTGAAGCTTTTAAACACAGCCATTTCAGATGGGAACTTAATGACACATAAAAGATGCTTTGTGGAACAATATTTTCAGATACAATAAGGCAGCAGGACAAGTTGGTACACATTCAGTGTTAAGCACAATTCTTGGTGGACACCAGAAATTATATCCGTACACAGAAGTTATCCATAAATATACAGTCAATTCACTTTACAGTATATTCTGTGAAGCGCTTTGAAACGTCTCGAAGACGTGAAAAGTGCTATATCAAATGCAAGGATTATTATTATTATTATCATCATCATTGGAAGTAACGAATCTCTACTCCCTTCGGTATGAACACATTAGTTTAACATTGTGAAAGATAGGAAGGTTAGTGTAGTGCAGATCAAAGCTTATTCTTAAAAAAATCAAATTGCTGTTTTTCTGCAAACGGAACTGATTTCCTTTAACAAATTCACTCTTTTCATTCAAATCATTTTATCAACGGGTTCACAAATGAGAAAAACATTTGATAAGAGAAACAGAAAAGCTAGCTTGGAAAAATAAGCAGTTGAAACTTAAAAATATAGTTGAACAGCTTTCACCCAGGATCTGAATTCGCAGCTGGAATATGGATTCAATTTTTGTAGCATCAGATTATTTTCATTTCGCCACTGTAACAGCAGCACCAAATGGCTTATTCTCAAAAGAAATCCATTTTTAATAATCAAGCAGGTTTAGAATTATCGATCTATTTCAAAGTTCACTTAAGACGTGGAGATGTAGAACTGTTTTTTTTAAATAAAAACAATCATTTTAAAACAAAACCTACCATCTTATGAACATTTTAATTGTATTGCTAACACCCAAGAATAAACATCTGTGGCGAACAAAGGATGAATAACTAGCAAAAGCCAAAAGAATGATGATTACATTATAGCAGCTTTCAGATTGCGTTCAATTTAATTTTCACACACTGTGCTAATTGCAGAGCCATTAATAATTCGAAACTCTTTACTGTACCTGTCCCCAGTCTCTCCAGTGGGTTCTGCCTGAGCAGCATAGTAATGAGGTCCTGAGTATCCAGTGGTGGCGTGTCATCCCCTTCGGGCCAGTTTATCTCATCTAAGAAACCACAAAGGAATAAGTTAGAGCGAAAGGTCTTCACTTAAATTTCACCACTCCTTTAGACTCAGCAAGCCTCAGTGCATTGACAGGATGTCAATGTAAAATGTCAGGTAATTTTGTTATTCACTGACCAAGATAAGAGAAATTGGAAGCCGTTTCCGTTCCATGATTTTCAAAAGGGAATGAATTAGAAATGGTTGAACTGTTCGTTCCTCTTAAAGAATTTGTGTTTGAATAGGACTCATGGGGACGAGGTCGAAAGGCCTTATTCCAGATGTAATTCTGATACTTTGTAAATGGATGTGCGTATTGTATGTGCGTTAGTTCAGAAGCATGCCTATTGCACTTTCCTTACATGTGCACCACAAGCAAGTGCAAGTTGCTTACAGTGCACTTTGTCAATAGGACTGAAGTGTCAAAGGTTCAGAACTGTGCAAAAAGCAATCCGGGCATATTGTCCATTGCAGAACGGGTAGTTTGTGTTTTTTAAAAAAATAAATTAACTGTTGACAGTAGCTGGTGTAGTGGGAGCTTTCACTGTTTCTTTTAATTAATTTCGAGGAACGAGGGTTGAATCTAATCCAGGTGGGTGAAAGTCATCTCTCTTCTGTTTGTACGAGTCTTGCACCTAGAAGCCAGGCTGACATCCAAGTTTATAATGCTGCAGAAAAGAATGTTCATCTAAGGTTAGGGATAAGTCGAAAACACTTTACGGTATATCCTGTTAAGAACTTTGACACGTTTCAATGACGTGATAAGGCACTATATTAATTGCAAGGATTATTATGAACAGGAGGCAGTGTTGAGTGGAGGCCAGGCAATGTCCGCAGAGGTTGAAGAGACCTGAAAGACAGGTCACATTGGGTGTTTGTACGCATCACTTAGCAGCCAATTACTCTGTATAACTGGCAATGACTTTGGAGCAGTTCAGCTGCCTGACCTCCTAACTGTTGGGAGTGATGCCACATCAGGACAAGTTTTGTTCAAACACAGATTGACTAAAACGTCACTAAGAAATTTCAATGCATATGTGCAACTCTCTGTAGCTTGGTTTCGATAGTGGAGTCTGGCGAAGGGCTTCTGTGCGTCATACACTCAGCTGACCAAAAACAAACCTCTCCAATTCAAACTGGGCAGCCTAGGAATGGCACAGTGTAACACATATCTGATGGGAGTATTGTCACACAAGGTGTCAATGGAAAACAATGCAAAAAGAAAACCAGACAGCAGAATATTTCTGTGTCTTCACTAGCTGTGATGTTGACTTGTGTATTTTCTGATGATTTAATCCAATTGCGAAGACAACGATTTATTCCATTTCATATTTGTGATCTGTTTTTTTCCCCCCAAACCTTGCAACATGAGATGGTGACATCATGCTGGACAAAAGTAAGCACGAAACATCTCATGTTGCAAGGTTTGGGGGGAAAAAAACAACTCACAGCATCAATCCTCAAATAAATAGCAGCTACACCCAATTACCAAGATAAATGTCTCTGAGACAAAGGCCGATATTATTTGTAGGCAGGTACTGCTTGCAAACTCAAATAAATCTCAACAGGTAGACTCTAATTTTTTTTACTGGTATGTGCTAGCAAAACAAAGCAAAATTAATAATCACTAAATTTTTAGTTTCCCAGCCTCGTTTGCAACTCTATCAACTGCCTCGGGCTATGGGATTCCATGTAATTAGAGAAGAAAGTTATTCTGTTTGTTTAGCCAGCAGGTTGCAGTAGATATGTAATTACATCATGTGGAAATGAATATGCAGATGAGCCCTTAGCCACCCACAGCCATTCAGTCTCTTAATTAATCACTCAATTCCCTCTGCCTCTCTCACTCTGCAGCAGACAAAACAAGATGGAATGAAATTCACTTGTATGGCTCTGGACAGCTGTACTATTAGCTGCTGGTGTCTGGACAGTAACTAGATGTCTGTGCGTTTAGAATTCCCAAACAAAATAGATATTATCATAATAATAATAACCTTGCTTTATCACGTCTTCGAAACGTCTCAAAGCACTTCATAGAATATACTGTGAAGTGAATTGACTATATTTTGTGGGCGAAACATAGCAGCCAATTGACCACATCAGTGTCCCGCAAACAGTCTTGGTCATTTACTTTGAAGGAAGTATTACCCTGGAAAAGCGATCTGCCAATTGACTAACAACCAGGTTCCTACTTACTGCCAGGTAAACAGAGGCGTAGGGAGTAAGAAAACCTTCCCAACGTTTTGCCCTACCGGGAATCGAACCCAGGTCCTCTTGCTTGCGAGACATATTGTGAGAGATGTCTTTCCTACACCGTGATTTTTCTGTTCTGCAGAAGGCCGTAGCCACAAGTTATATAAAAGCATCCCCATTCCACTTTCTAAATATTAATGAACGATTATACTTTGGAATAATTAACTGAAATTGGGAGATGAAGTGGGGCAGATATTAAAAATCCTTTTGATAAAATATGCAAATACAATCCGCTTAAGGAATTTTTGGGGGGGTGATTTTGAAATCTTTTTGGTGCAAATTCATTAAACCCACGTCAGTTCCCAGTTTAACCAGGTGGGTGTGCACACAGTTAACTGGCATTACGTGACTGGCAGGTCAGCAGAATGCAGCACACACACTGCAGAGAGAACAAACACAAACAATTCTTTTAATGACAGAACAGCACGCCAATCCACGGGAACACAATCTACTTTCAGAGTAGAGTTCCCACCGGTCTGCATGACATACTTCTAATTACTGCAAAAAAAAATCCTATTTGCCTGAGTCCCTCTTACGATGCAATTTACACTTATATAGCGCCTTTCACGTTGGGAAGATCACCAAAAGCACTCGACAATTCTGGCTGGGCACCGGTGCTGAGGGTTGGACCTGAGGACGGTGAGAATCCTGTTCCGAAATCGTTGCAATTTACATTCTAATCTTAGGAACTTTTCCACTTTGAACCCAGACCACTTGATGTATTTTCCGTTACAATGATGGTTTGGGTATAATCATAATCCTTACATTTGGTTTAGTGCCTTCTACATCAGGAGGCCTCTCAAAGAGCTTCACAGGATATACTGTAAAGTGCAGTTACTGCATTTTGTGGGCAAACACAGCAGTCAATTTGCATTAAGCGTAAGGCTATGTCTTGTCGCTTACCACTGATCACTTGCCCAAAGAGCTCTTCGGGGGTATCTCCAAAGAAAGGCACACATCCAACCACAAATTCATAAAGGATTATTCCCATTGCCCACCAGTCTACCGGTTTGCCATACCCTTGCCGTAGGATTACTTCCGGGGCTATGTATTCTGGAGTTCCACAAACCTGTGATACAAGAGGAAGGGTTTAACAGGACTAGCAACAACAACAACTTGCATTTATAGAGTGCCCCTCACCAGGGCAGCATTCCATAGCACTTAGCATGTACTATACAGATAGGTGTTAGCAACAAGACAAGCATGTATAAGTAGTTGTGGCTTATATAGCTCACGATGAGTACTATGTTTTTCATCAGTTGGGTATCTGACACATGCGGAAATCCATCACCATACTTAAGAGTATCCAAACCAGACAGAGTTTTACATATGCATTCCACCCATATATGGAGATTTCCTTGTGTCTAGAATGGAGTGTGTACCTTCTCTTATCTAATTCTGGAATGCATCAGCGCTAAGAGACTTAGGGACACCAGAGTGGTGTTTGGATAATGCTGCAATTTAACTGAAACTACGTAGTTTGTCATTGAGAGCAGCTTTGGCCTTGACCAACTACAACCTTCCTAACCGTTTAGGCTTTGGCTTTCAGGTTTAACAGGAACCAAATGGGAAGAATACCGGCTCCAGTGACTAGCCTCCAAGTCCTGTTGATGAGCCAGTCTGGCTGGCCTTTCATCAACAGTGCCTTGGAATACTGGAGACCCACCTGTCTCAGGAACTAGACTAACTGTACAGGAAGAAATTACAGCTATTTGTTGTCTTTCTAAATGTTGCCTTTCTGAACTGCTCCCGTCTCCCTTTGATCAAGTTCATCTTGTACCTTTATCTCTACCTTTCTGCCTCCACACTCGATTCTAGGACCCTGCTGCTTTAACAGATTCCATGTCAGACAGCAAGTCCTAGATAAGCTTTAACTTTCTCCAGCCAACATCAATAAAACGGAGACTATTTTGCTCGGCTCCCTTCAGCGCCTCCTCGCCTCAGGCGCTGACCATATTGACCCCACCCCCCACTGGTCTCTCCAACTCACAGAACCTAGGTGCTTTGCTTGAGCCACAACTCTCCTTCAAACCTTTCCTCCAGCCAAATCCACTTTCCTCCATTTCTGCAATATCGTCCACCTCTGCTGCTACCTCACGCCTAATGCAGCAGAAAAATCTCATCCATGCTTTTATCTCCTCCAGTCTCTGACTTTTCCAATGTCTTGCTCACTGGCCTCCCTTCCACAAACTCCAGATCATCCACACGTCTACAGCCAAGATTCTCTCCCACACCAAGTTTCACGAGCAAACACCCAGCAACAGTAACTATGTAAGTCAAATTATTGTTGTTTAAATTGTATTAGTGCATGTTAAAATAGTTAGTAGCAGAATATAGTTTGTATCTACCTTCTTCTGTATTGTGTGTGGAAACAGCAAGAATGGTAAAAGCAACTTTATTATTTAAGAGACCAGATTGCAAGTGTTTGGTAATGACGCGTGCTGAAAGGAAATGGGCCATATCGTGGATTTAATACCCTTTATTGGTGCAGTATATCATGGGCTTCAGAGGTACACTGCCAAGATTACAATTTATATCATGACATTGCTCCATTTACTCCTCCATTGATTCCTGCTATTTATTTTCGATAACATCTATTATTTATGGATGAGAGAGGGTAACTGGTCTCAAAATCTGAAAATGGCCAGATATCAAAGGCGAGGGTGCTTTAGACATTTTTTGCACTACCAAATGCCCTGTTTATACAAGCACATTATTTATAATACGACTGATGATTTTATAGACACCAAAACCTCTTAAAAAGATTCCAATATTTCTTCCCTAACAAATGATGCATATATTCAAATTGTTTTGAACTCAACATTTCCAGCAAATCCAACAATTTCCTCTTTTCTTTCTTCTTCCCTTATTTTAATCCCTTATTTTAAACATTGAGATAGATTTTTTAAAAATTCTTCGCATCTCTTTCTCTATTACTCCTGCTTGTTCCACACATTCTGCCTTTTGCTCTTTCTATACCAACTGATCATGTTCCGAAACACTCACATTTTGGTGCATTGTGCTACGTCCCTACAAATGTGCATGCAGGAATGCTGCTCGCGGGAATCACAGTTCATATTAAATTAGGTTGATAGCTGTGAGCGCTGGTGTTCCCTTGCACTGAAATTCCTTGTGACCTGACAAGAACCGGAATCCACACATTAAACACTGAACTCCTATTGATATTCATTTAGTTAAACGTGCTCAGCAATTTCATTTAACCCTCTAAATACTAATAGAGGATTTGAATATAAAGGGATTGGAATTAATCCATTTCGAGAATACTGTGGGGAATCTAACTTGGCTCTGAATTTTTCCAGTGTTTTCATACCATGCTAGAAAGTAATGAAAAATAATCTCTTTAAAATGTATTACCCAAAGAATTAAAAGGCAATACATAAGACAGACATTTACCAAACAAAGATCTGCATTATTAGTTTCCAACAGGAAACATTGCCTTTGGGTAGATTTGAAATTACGAGCAATTACAATAAAATACTTTATTGAGTAACACCTAATTATTTGGACCTTGTTCTATGTTCATTGTTCTAAATTCAAAATCTATGTATGTAGTTTTAGCTGCATAAACTTCAGCAGTTTCCCAATGCACATTTTGGGGGTCCCCAAGCCTTGGCTCTCGCTAACTCTCCAGAAATGGGTAAACAAGGTACATCCCTCCTGAGAGAGAGTGCACATTTCATTCTACACGCAGTAAAATTCCCATGGGTACTTGGCATACATATGTGGAATACTGTCTGGTTTGAATACCCTTTAAGCACGATGATGGGTTTCCGCGAATATCAAGAGACCCAGCTGAACAAAATCAAACAAATGTTTTCTAAATTACCAATTACTTTCTCCGCTTAAAATTTTGGTGCAGAGTTTGCGGACACAAATCAAACACTACTCTGATCACGTAGTCTTGCTTGAGACTTGAAAAACTTGAGGTTAAAAATTCCAGCTAGTAGTAGCCTCCAAGATGAATAGTCTTTAACACTTTAAGTTGTAGTAAATTCTTAAATGGAGGCTTAACTTAGAGGCTAGTTTCCACAGTTCTTAAAAAGAACTGCCTTAAGTGACCACATTTCTTTTGGTGGGGGTGGATTTTTATTATAATCACCATACATTAGATGGACATTTCCTATAATAATCATGTGTGGTTCATACCTGCTTGTCTAGGAATTCTCTGGCATCCTTCTCAATGTGTCCCTCGTAAAGGTTAGTGGTCATGTTCATCAGCCCAACTTTTGACAGTCCAAAGTCAGTCAGCTTTATATGACCTAAAGATGTTACAAGCAAACTACAGAGAAGAAAACACAGTTCAGCTCTCCAAAACCAGCAATTTTATATGAAAACTGTAGGCACAATTTTATATTAAAAATTATAGGTACAATTTTATATTAACAATAAAAGATTACTGCTAATATATTCTGAATGCTGGCAGTTTTCAAGTTCAAAATTGGGCCTAATCATAAAATAACCATATTATAATAGTTCTATAAAATAAATAAACCAAGATTATGGTGGCATTTGATAAACTGCTTACACCTGAAATCAGAATGAAAAAACTTTAAGATTGTTACCAATATCGACAATAATCGGATGGCACAGAAATTGGCCATATTTTAGCACTTGAAAAGCTGCTTGGTGTTTTGAAATGAGCTGGCCAGCTTTCTGCTAGATTGTTTGGGGTAAGTAAATGTCCCCACCCCAATCATGTTAGGAGTGAACCCACAGTGTAATGAAGCAGGTTTTAAATGTCACCCCATCACGATACACCTGACAAAACAAACGAAGTAAACATTTGTATGTCAGCAAGAAAAGGTACTGGAATCTCCAGGCTAACTTGTCAGTCTCTGTTCTGACACACACATTACTTGGAATCACTCCCAATCAGATGCTGCCTGTAAAATTCCTCCACACTGTGGATGTCGAAACACAATATGCCTCTAAGAGATCTGCAGATTTGTCTCAACCTGTCAAAACGATCCCTGTCAAACATATTGATTATGCCCTTTGCTGATTTACAACTTTGTTTGCAGTAAGTTACAATTGATCGGTTTCGGGGATAGAGATGGTTTTTATTTCCCAGTGACTTGGAATAACAACATGGGCCTTTGCCCAAGATCATTTTCAGATTCTTCACCTTTACTTGCCAACAGATGGAACAATGACCTTTAAAAATTGGCTTTCAAATACCCAAAGGTTTATTGCACTCAATTACTTTGTGTAGTTTTGACAAATGAAAAATTTGGTTAGAGGTCATAGTCTTTCATCTTTCTGCTCATCTCTATTCTCTGGGGACTGTGTGTTGATGTCTGGGCTTTGCAGGAACTTCGTTTTCTAGCGAGAGTTATCTAATGAAATCATCATCAGCCTTCAGATATTGGAGAGTTTATGCTCTCCTATAAATACAGTGAAAGTGTGGACATATGGACTATCAACAGCACTGAATTATGATGTTACGTCCTCCATTGGAGTTACCTCCTCTAAAGTAAACCTTGCATTTGATAGTACAATAATACTTTCATTTAATATTGCACCATATCACATCTTCCAAAACGTCTCAAAGCACTTCACAGGATTTGACTGTAAAATGTAGTGACTGTTTTTTTTCCACACAGTAATCAGCCATTAAGTGAATGATCAATTGTGACTGATATGTCTCAAAGGACTTCACAGAGGTTTTATGTAAAGTGTAGTATTTGTAGGGGAGTTTTATCAGATTATGAGGTACAGAGAGAGAGAACATTGTAAGGGAGTCTAAAATATTGTGAGGCAGAGATTTTATAGATGTGAACAGGTCATTTAACATGGGAGTACAGAACTAGACATACAAAATGAACAAGTTACAACTACAATTAGAATCTGTGTCCAGCTTCCAGTAGAGACAACAGTGTATTGATTAATTTCTTTATAAAAGAGCTAGATAAAAAACTGGTTGAGAATAGAATTGAAGGTTATAAGTACAAGCAACACAATACTCCATGGACCACAATGTGTCTTGTGCTGTTGGAATCAATGAATTCTCATCTGTCACAAGCAACCACAGTAAACTCCTGATAAGTCAACCCTGGCTTAACTTGTCACTACCACTTAAGTCATTGTGCTGTCACTATCCCAGGTACATTTATTTATGTATATATACACATGCCTAACACACTACTCCAGATAACTCGTCACCACCGAGTCCTTTTCACTTGGAGTGACATGAGTTTATTGTAGTTGGGGTTGATTAGTTAAACAGACTTTCATTGAATATCAATGGGCAAATTAGATCCCATGTCAGGGTCTTGGAATGTACTGTCTGGACTGACTCTCCAATAGATTGCCAGGCGAGCAATGAAGTTGATATTGCTATCCTTTAAATGAGACATTAAACAGAAGTTTTGTTTGTCTGTCCAGGTAGACATTAAAGATCCCTTGATACTTTTCAAAAAGAGGAGGGAGTTTCTCCTGGTGTCCTGGTCAACAATCCCCCCAAATTAAAAAAAAGTGTAATTCATTTCATGGCTATTTGTGCACACATTGATTGCTGCGTACATCTACAAAATACATAGTCACTACACTTTACAGTAAATCCTGTGAAGCACTTTGAGACATCTCAACAACGTGATACGATGCTATGTATATCAAATGCAAGAATAGCGTGACATCCCCAGACCTATGCTGGAGTATCAGCCAAGGCTCTGTTAGGGAAGCAACACGAATAATAAATCTGTAATGTCATTTTAATGTCACTTTTACATTGTGGTTGTGGAGACTTGAAATACAGCACCAAACTGGAGGTTGCTCCATTTTTTTTTTTATTTCCACAAATTTCCAAAGACCACTACACACAAGTGACATATAATGGGCATACCAAAAGTTAAGTTTGTGCGATCTCCTCTAGTCCAGGACATATGCCTGAAATATAAGGTAACTTTACTTTCGATCTTTTCCCATCTCTGCTGTTGATATTTGAGTAATGAAGATTGCGCAAATACATTTCTAATGGCATTTCACGTACAGACAAATGTCTCGATACACCAGGCAGGCTTGCCTCGGGAGGCAAACTCTTAATCAAAAAGCAGCAAAAAATAATTTGTAGCCATGTACTGACGCACGTGAATTAACAAGTGGCATTTAGGATTGAATTGTATGCAACCTTTTAGGGACTGAGCAAGAGAATTTTTCCATTTTATGAGGTCATTGCAGCTCTTTAGCTTTCTAATTTAACTACCCACATTTTCATTGCTTCCCTCAATGCCCTGATTTTCCAAATACAGTACGTAACTTCTCCCTCTTAAACACCTCACTCGATTCAGCGGCTACAGCCATCTCTTAGTGAAGCCTTTTTTTAAAAAAATGTAACCAGTTTAGCTAAGCGTTTTAGATTATTTAGGAGTAAAGCAGCATTTTATTAATCAATTCTAAGACAACAAAATTTGCCTACAAAATAAACAGTCGTTACACTTTCCAATAATTCCAGTGAGACTGCTTTGAGACATCTTCCTGACTGACAGGCACAATATCAAATGTAAAGATTATTATTATTATAACATGTGCTTTCGATCGAAACCCATCTAAACAAAGAAGTGTTAGGCATCAAGCGGTGTAATCTCCTTATTATACCATAATGCCTGAAGTAAAAACTTGATCAGGAAACACAGGAACAACAACAACAACATTACATTTATAGAGTGCCTTTCACGTCGGGAGGATGTCCCAAAGGAAATGAAACAAATGAAACCAACAGAACCTTGAAACCTGATAGAAACAAAGCATGGTGTAGATATTACTGATGACAGGTCCGAAATTAAAACAGCTGAAACTAACCACTTATATATTCACCTTTACATCATGTAGAAATTAAGATCGAGTAATTCAAAAAGGCATTAAACTATATTGAAGTGAAAAAGGTGAAACAGTACTGGGTGAGATTTTGTAGTAAGCAGACAAAGGTAATACCAACTACAGTGTAGCTCCACCATAATGTACTTCACTATCATAAAAATTCACTCATCAAGATTGCACTGTGGACTCCATTCATTGCACACACAAACATATGATAAGGCTGCCCTGCATTATTGAAAAACTTATTGCACTTTTGTCCACACAGGTGTATGCGGAAAGTGGGAATTACATTGGCAGCGACCATATAATGACCCAATAGTCAGCCATTTTAGTTTCCTGTGCTAAACAAAATGGCCAACTTCCAGATCATCAGGTCCTGCTTTGAGTGTGCACAACAAACAAAGTAGCATCCAGGTAATCCTGGCCAAAACCAGCCAATGAGCGGGGAGCAGGTCAGTCAACTGTGCACGGACACAATCAATTCCCCAACTATCAGTGAATTAATGCGTCAACTTCTGTGAAATTGCAAAACCTGAGAACACAAGGAAACAGCGAGTTCACAGCAAAGCTCAATTTGCATATCATGGTCTGCTAAAATAACAATAATTCTTGCATTTGATATCACGTCTTATCACGTTTTCGAGGTGTTTCAAAGCGCTTCACACAATATACTGTATAGTGAATTGACTATATATTTTGTGGGCGAAACGTGGCAGACAATTGCAAGTAGCAGTGTCCCACAAACAGTCGTGGATTGAGTGATCAATTTTTTTTTTTGAAGGAATTATTACCCCAGAAAAATGATCCACTGATCGACTAACAACCGGGTTCCTACTTACTGCTAGGTAACAGAGGCATGTGGAGTAAGGAAACTTGCCCAACATTTTGCCCTGCTGAGAATCAAATCCAGGTCTCTTGCTTGCAAGGCGAGTGCTCTAACTACTGAACTGCAGGGCCAAAGTTTACAAGTCAGCAGCTTTAATAACTCACAGAGCATCACAGTCTAAACATAGCATCTACAGCCAAATGAGCTAACTGAGAAAACGACAAAATAGCAAACAACCTTTTTTAAAAAGTTTTTTTTTCGGAAAAGCATCTGCAATGGCTTTTTTGGACCATCATTATACTTCAAAGTGACTTCATATGCCCTTCAGTTCAGAGCTTAATGGGCAGGACAACCAAAGCTTTAATGCCAAGAAATTCTTGGAGCTGAGTGCACTAGTTCCTGTATTGGAATATTGGCCGAGACTGTGAGCTAATGTCTCAAAGTACAGCATGAACCCACAAAGGGAGGCTGCTACCAACTGAGCCAGGTTCGACTAATTTAAGGTTTACCTTAATTGATGCGCTTTTGTTGTAAACATGGACGAATGCACTTACGTGAATATTATATGCCTATTTTGGTAAAAACGGGCACTGAAAATAAGGACTAAATGCAATTTTAGGGAACCTACCTATATTGACAATGCAGCGTATATTTATACACTAGACAGTCACGTGGTAGCTTGTGAATCACCCTGAGACCACGTGTGCTTGCAAGCAAAACTTTTGTATAGCTGGACCATCCAGAACGGAGACAGTCTCATTGTTACATTCAACCTATTTTAACAGTGCGGAATGGTCCTATGTTACTGACAACAGGAAATACCATGCTTACAAAAGTCTATACAGCATATTTTATGTCTACCATTCGATTTGTCGATAAAATATACAGCCAATGCACTTTACAGTATTTTCTGTGAAGTGCTGTGAGACGTCTCGGAGATGTGATAAGGCGCTACATCAAATGCAAGAATTATTATTATCTTTTTGATGCAGTGAATCCAAACAAAGTAAGACAGTTAGTTAGTTAGTTAGTTAGTTAGTTAGTTGTTTCATGTTGCTTCACCCATTTTTCCCACAAGTTGCTTTAGTTTCAAACAAATTAACTTTAGTGTCTGTTAGATATTGATTATACACTGGATGAAGCAAATGATGCCATTGCAAACAATGCAGCAAATAATTGTAAGCTGCATAATGCTAAAATAAATGACAGATGTTTAATCAAATATAAAAGTGCACATCTAAATTAGAAGCTACCTTCAATTAGCTTCTTTAAATGTAATAATTAAAAAAATTACAACTTAATTTACATAACATTTTGAGCTCTTCAGACAGAGCATAATCAACAGCTGGAATGGATAACCAGGTTTGGCAGTTGACCTTGGGTTTATTTGAGGAACAGCTGGTTGCTGTCTCCAATGTGAGTTCACATTTAGACTTTATCATAGGTAACATCTACATCAGGTTCAATATCTCTCTGTTAGCACATTTTCTCCACGTATCAGCTAGAATGTCAGTCACACCTCAAGGTCTATTACTTTGACTTCTTTCATCTTTATTTTGTTCGTTTACAAAACACACAGTCACTACACTTTTCGGTATATCCTATGAAGCACTTTGAGACATCCTCCTGATGTGAAAGGCGCAACATCAAATTTAAAGATTATCATCATCTGTGTTATCTAATGAAGGTTGCTTTGACATTAAATTATAATGAGGACATTGTATAAAGTGATGCCAGGCACTTATTTATTCAGATTGATCTTGATTCAAAGCATGTCACTGCGTGTTCTGGAAGGATAAAATGAAATGGTCCAAAGGACATTATTCACCCAAACACGCCTTATAAGCCAATATCTAGATTTGATTCAAAGTTGAAACATCTCAAACGTTTCAGAGTTTTCTGTAAATTGTAGTGACTACATACGTAGGTGATCGCAACAGCCAATTTGCACATAGCAATAGCCCACAAACAGCCAGGAGGTAAAAGGCTAATTGAACTGAACATTTCTCTAATATCTCCAAAAAAATTAAATCAAATCAGAGAATTCAGGGTAGAGGCTGGGTACATTCATACAGAAGAAGGGAATAGCAGCTGTTTCAGTGCATCTTTCCCATCCCCACTTCAGTTTCTACTGGGTGCTCAGCCCTGTGCGCTGGCTTGTTCCTATGCTAAAAATAAGGCTGACTTCTGAGTCGTTAGGTTGCCACTTCATCACTTCCTGCTTTGTGCATATGCAGTAAACAGGAGATGAGGTTAGTCATCCAGCAGGCAGTGAGCAGGCTGGCTGAGTGTACACATAAGTGAATGAGATTTAGACAGCAACCACATTATAACCAAATTTGGGCTGTAAAGAAGAGCATTATAATGGGGCCATACTGAATAGGTCCAATTCAATTTAATTATGTTCTTGAAATATATAAAATCTAATTTGACCTTTGAATTGTACGTTTCTTGTTGCAAATGATCATAGATTTCATTCCAGAATGATTCATATTCAGACTACATGCACGTACTTATCTGGTTTCAGATCCCTGTGCACAATTCCATAGTTATGGAGATATTCCAAAGCAAGAACAGTCTCTGCAAAGTACATCCTGGCCATGTCTACTGGCAGAGGTCCCATGTTTTTCAGCAGCGTGGCACAATCACCTCCTAGAAACAATCAGAACATAAACATGAATGATTCAGGACACTCAATCCTACTCCTCGGATTAATAGGCACATACAATAACTTGCAGCCCTTCATGCAGGGTAGCGTCCAGGAGTGCTGAACAACGGCTCAGCTTAATGCCGATCCAGAAGAAAGGGGAGGTGATCGTAGGCACGGTTGAAAAGGAAGGACTTCAGGTGCGATCTGAAGAGGAGCAAGGCGGAGGGATTGAGCTCATAAAGCCATATATGTTAAATCATCATCCATAGTTGAAGAAAGCTATTATATTAGAAAATTCACATTTCACTGGCCTTCTGGCCATTAACCCATTAACAGGTAGAAATTCCACCAGGGTCTATATTTGCTCTATTTGTGTAGCATTTTAGAATGGCCATAATTTGGCAAATTTTTAAGTTCAGCCTTAATCTTGAGATCTGTTTTCTGTAGGTTCTTTTAAGAATGATTTCCTCAAAGTTAATAATAATAATCCTTGCATTTGATACAGCGCCTTACCACTTCTTCGAGATGTCTCAAAGCTCTTCACAGGATATACCGTAAAGTGGAGTGACTGTATATTTTATGGGCGAAACTCGGCAGCCAATTGCGTACAGCAGTGTCCCACAAACAGCTGTGAATTGAGTGACTTTAAAAAGACTGAATTCAACAATTTGCCAAGTTCTGGATGTTCTGAAATGATACATAAATAAATCTAGACCTAAGTGGAATTTCTCCAAATGAGTTTCTCCACACAAGTGGAGAATTCCAATTTTTATAACAATAAGTTTGGCAACAGTAACAAAATTATATTTGACTGAAATGTGAATTTGGATTTGCTGAAGTTAAGTTTTATGTAAAAATGAACAATACATTACCTTCTACATATTCCATCACCATACATAAATGGCGCTTGGTTTCAAAGGAACAATACATGCTGACAACAAATGGATTTTCTGCAAATGTCAGGATATCTCTTTCTACAAACGCTTGTTGGATTTGGTTTCTAAGAATCAGGTTCTGTTTGTTTATTTTCTTCATTGCAAATCTCTGCTTTGTCTGTTTGTGGCGCACCAAATACACAGCTCTGGGAAAACAGAAAATAGTCAATGTTGAAGTTTTCTCCTGATAAGAACTATTGATAATAATGTGAAAAAATGTTGAGCTTTTCTCTCCCTATACATTCCTCCACACCCACACCTTTCCCAACAGGGACACTGGTACCACTGAGTTCCTTGCACTATGTGATACATTGCAGTTTGAAGCTATTCATGTAGCACCCAATACTATCTCCAAACAGATATTTATCCAGTTCATTTTTGATGAACTAATCCACTCAGCCTCATTTTGTGGAGGGATTGTTTCACATCTCCATTGCTCAGTAGGAAGAAATATCTTTTAATCTCTAGTCTCGCTTCAGGCTGGTTAATTTTAAACCACTATTCTCCAGTTCTGCTCTAATGATCGAGTAGCCTTACTTACATCTATCTACATCATCTGTGCCTCACAGCAATTTAAGATGCAAAGCTTTAATGTTGTGAGAATGTGATGATTCAGACTGGATGATCGGTAAAAAAACAACTGATGATGGTTCACCAACACACTAAATGTTTAAATATTGTACACATCACCGATAATATGCTACATCAAAGTAATCTTAAACTTCAACTATGTATTAAACCATTGTTGAAAACTCAGTGAACATTTTGTTTTTAAACTGTCGACAGTGATGTTGATGAATTGCATTGCAACACAGAGTCTCAAGCCAGAAGCCCCACTGAAACTTCAGACAATTTCCTCTGAGTGACGTACCCCTCTGGGCAACAGTGTTACCGTGATGCAGTGTTGGTGGCATCACATTCTTACAGACCCAATGAAGTCATGGAAAAGTTCTGGTCTCAATCAACACTCACCCATATGCTCCATTACTGATCAGTTTCATGGTTTCAAAATCACTTTCACGGGGTTTACGTCGACTTTGTACCGAGGGACCGAAGCTCTGGGTAGAAAAAGGGGAAAAAGATATTAAAACTGAGGCAGAACTGAGATGTGCAGCTGGTTGGCTGGGCCATGAAGTGGAGTGGAATGTCCCACACATGTTAATTACCACATCACACATGAAGTTTTCACACCATTGTGGTTTTTCCAACTCTGCTTGGGCAATACATAGGTAGCCACAAGTTGTGATACTTCCGCACAGTTGGAGTGGAGATGGGAGGGGGTATTCTCTAAGGAGAATATGGCTGGGTTGTTTGCACACAAGCATCTAAATTAATAACATTGGTAGAAGGTTGGGCAGATTATCTCAGCGTATTGGCTGACCATGGTACATAATAATAATAATAATAATAATATGTACCATAGGCACTTTTGATAAAGCGCCTTATCATGTTGTTGAGACGTCTCAAAGTGCTTCACAGGAAATACTGTAAAGTGGATTGACTGATGATTTATTTTGTGGGTGAGATTGCGCATACCAATGTCTGACAAACAGCTATGGAGTAAGTAACCAATTTTATTTGAGGGATTGTTGGCCAGGACTCCAGAAGAATCTCTCTCCTCTTTTCAGATAGTGCCATGGGATCTTTAATGCCCATCTGAACAGGCACATTTTAATGTCTCATCTGAAGGATGGCACCTCTGACAATGCAACACGCCACCAGCATTGCATTGCAATAACAGCTTAGACAATGTGATTCCAAGTCCCAACGTGGGGCTTGAACCCACAGCCTTCTGACTCAGAAGTGAGAGTGCATCCGCTGTGCCAGGCTGACACACGCTGACACACACACGCACGAACAAGAGATAAAAGAATAAAAATAAACATAATGTAAGTGGTGAAATTAACCATATTTCCTATACCTATATATTTACAATTCACCAAGCAAATTAAATTCTATCCAATGTTACATTTTATTTTTTATTTTACAGTTTGTGTAAATCATAAGGGACCGGTTAACTATACTGGCTTTCATGTGATATTGATATTAATAATATTGTGTTATTAATTTCTGCAAAGGTTAAATTTGTTATGAATATACAAATGTGGTTTATAATGCAGTCAATAAATCAATACATTTCCTGAAAACTGCTACTGGCTTCTCATCGCACACAGGTAAATCAATGATGTTGTAGCTGTGAATACTTGTGGGGAAATCAATTCTGGCAGGGAAGGACAGCTGAAATTAAATCATTTCAAACTGAAGGATTGCGCAAACAGTTTACTTACACTTTTGGAAGTTGCATTTCATTGCAAAGGTCTAACCTAACATATAGATTTTTGATTTTGGTCAGATGGGTGTCAGACACATATCGAAGCCCATTACCATGGTTAAGAGTATACAAACCAGACTGAGAATTCCACATATACACAACTCCACAGGGAAATCTCTCTGTGCCTGGAATGGAATGTACACTCCGTTTTGCTCACCTAATTCAGAAGAGTACTAGGTGCAGATTGGTGAAAGTCAAGGCTTAGAGCACCCACGGTGTACAATGAGGGGAGAAATGCTGGAGTTTAACTAGCTAGACCAGCGTATCTTGACTGTGAGAGCGTTATTATATGTGCAGAAAGTTAAAGTTACGGTACTTCACAATTACATTGATTGCAACATGAATTGAACATATTGAACCAGTTAAAACATTCCAGCAAGGGCTTCCTATTACAAAGACGCTCAGGTTTTCGATCGGAGACTGGGTAATTATAATCCTGCTGCTCTTCTCTGAGGTTGTTTGTGTGATGTAAATCTCAGAGGTCACAGAGGTCAGCAGGTTTCTGTAATGGACTGATACAAAAACCTGAATCACTTCAATGATAGATTATGGATGGAAGATATTCTTTGTAAAACAAGATACATATGTGCGATCTATCTCCAGCAGCAGAATTGTATAGCTTTATATTGTTTCTGCAAAAACATTGGTGCATAAAGAGCAAACTTACACTTACCGAGTCATCAGTTTCAGGAGTTCCTGCTGTCCCACTATCATAGCTAGCCAGCTGGGCCATTTCTTTTAATAAAATAAGGTATTGATTTAGGAGCAAAAAAGTTGCACACAAGAATGTAATTTGACACTATAGAACAATTATAGTAATGTTCAGTTTCTTCCGCAACAGTTTGATGCTTCACAGTTGTACTGCAGTGCTACATAATCTTATAGAGATTGGATATATCATTTATTGAATTCACTGAATTAATATTCTTTACTTAAGCACATGCAGAGTTAATTCCACTCGTCTCCGCAATTCCCGTTGTGTGCTCGATGTAGCATTTCTCAATGCTGTTTCAGTCCATTTTATCCTAACCATTATACCGCTTACCTAGGAATTAAATTTGTCACAACTTGCAGCAGTTGTTTGATAACCAAAACGAGCGAGCAATTGCTAAATTAAATAGTGGGTAAACGGAGCGTTCAGCAATGCCTGATGAGACTTCTGAAAAAATATCTAAAGCAGCGCAACATCTGTCCTTTGTACACAAGCAAACAATTTCTGAGTGGTCTTTCTAAGTAGAGATAAGACTGCTGATACAAGAGCAATGGACAAAACAATTCCTCCTGAGGGAAACCCATTTGTGATGCAGTCACGAATGTCTAATACACTGCAAATGTCTTTTGTGATTGTTCTTTGGATAAATTGAATTTATTTGATATCATCTCCTCATAACACCTAAGGTCCTCAGATCGCAGTGTGAACATATATAATCTGTAGGACTAAACCGTACAGTTGCAAACTGGATTAGTAACTGAAGCAATTGCAGCACCTTAAGAAATGTGTTCATCTCAGATCCGAGAGTAAGTCGAAGGGCGACAGAGAAACAGAAACAATTTGTTTAATTACATGGGTTCCAATTAGATGCTCAAATGCATTTTTAATGACTGTTTCTAATGTACAAATACTGCTGTGTTTGGGGTTTAACAGAGCACTGAGGCAGCTAAAAATGAATGTCACAGTTAGCTGAACTGTGCCAAGTGAGCAGGGATGGGAGGAAGTCAAGTAGAAGAGTTGCAGGCATCCTAGTCAACCCAGCCAAGGTTTAAATAATATGCAGTCTCCTAATGCATAATCCATGGCAGACCAGTTGATGCCTGGTGCCTCAGATATTAATTATATGCTAATTCTGGCATATCTAAGTAGGTAGGTGCCTTAATACAGAACCCCAGGCTATCTTTTAACAGAATCCTGCATCTGCACTTTCCACAACGTAATAACTACAAATTAATGAATTTGCAAAATTATGCATCCTCAAAATTACTTTTAACAGTTGGTGCCGAGACTGGTAGACATACAATTAAGATTCACTGTTTAAATTAATCTTAGCAGCTATTTTCATATTTTGGGAGAAATGTGTTCCTGCAACTATTAGGAAAATACCACCAGAACCTCCGTCCTTCAATAATTATCTCACAGAAAAAGACCAATAATGTACAGGCAGCTTTGTTAGCAATGGAACTCACCTTCCAAGGGATCCTTAGTTAGGCCCAATTGACTGATGATATACCGGGGAATGTCTGTCTTAATGCCTTGTCCTTCCTTAGCATGGCCTTCTGCTGCTTCCAACAAGTGATAGAATTCTTCAGGGTCAAATTCCTAAAATATTAATACACTTTTAGTCAAAACTTTACATAAATCCAGTGGTGACAAAATCCTAAAACTTTCATTGTCACCTGGGGGTTCTGCTTGGTCAGCAAATATTCTTTGATCAAGTCAAGGTAATGCTAAGTTGAAGCAATAACAAGAAATTGCATTTACAGGGTTCCTTCCACGTAAAAAGGATTTTTTGTCATCCTCAATTTTAATTTTGTTCAGTGTTTGTAGACGTTATTGGCGCAGATTGGCTGTTATGTTTGCCAACCAATACTCTATATCATTTTATTATTTCCATCATCCTATTCTTTGATTGTTCTTAAAATTAGGACGCATTGTGTGATTCAGATGGAAGTAAACACACAACCCTGCTATTTCCATGGAGTCTTTCTCCAGTTATCCCTGCTTACATTCCCTCCCTGATCCAAATTGACTCCCAAATTCAAATAATTGTCTGCTCATCTCATTGTTGTTCATGGGGATATTACTGGAGCTGATGAGCCTTTGTGGTTTGCCAACATAACCACATTCACACTCTTACTTATTCTAATTTTAGTTATACCCAAAATATTTATTTTGTTAAGAATAATCTTTGCATTTGATAGAGCGCCTATTTGAGGACAGCCCCTACAAAGTTAGAACATAGCCAACAACAGATTGCATTTCTATAGTGCCTTTCAAATCGGGAGGACGTCCCAAAACACTTCACAGGTAACAGCTGTTAAGTTTGGTGGTTACTGAAGTTGAAGTAACTTACCAGACATTCCAGCAGTCGAGCTGGGCGAGCAATGATGATCAATAATTTCTTGACCAATTGATCAATAACTGCGACTTCACTACTTTCAGAACGCTCGTGAGCCTAAATATACAAAAGAAATAGTATTTCACATCACCTGAGTAAATGATGTTAATGATCCGACAAAATTTTTAATGAATGTAATTCAAAAAAAATTCAGAATCTGTACCAAACAAACATATGAGCCAGTCAGAGTATTTCACACCCTTCCTGGTACACATTTAAACATTTAATTCTCAAAAGCAATTTTACCTAGATTAAAGCTGAATCGGGCTCGAATTACAACTACTTGCGTTGTCAATCATTCGACTTCACAGATCATTAAATTGACTTTAGGCTCATAAACCTGATTAGCATTACACTTGAGCACCATTGAATATCTGGGATATGGAGCAGATGGCATTGTGTTATAAGTCAGTCATAGAAGACACCACCTTGGCTCTCTAAAGGCAAATGTGGCTTGCAAGCCAATTAATGCACAAGGAGAATTCCCTATCCTACCATAAACCACACAGGGATGGTTATTAACAGAAGTAACGAGTAGCTGGTTTAAGAATGTATGTGTTGGGGGGGAGGGGGGCCTGCTGTTGCGAACACTTTTACTGCTAAGTAGGAGTAATAGTGCAACATCGGAATTTTTGAGTCAGATAGCTCTCACTCAGCAGTAATTTATGGTCAATAAAAAATGCTGCATCTTTTTTAGGGCAGAATATGGGCTGAAAGTGAATCTAGGACAATGAAATGGAGACCTGTGAAATAAATGCAAAAAACTCCAATAATGAATATTAAAATCTAATTTTATATTTGCACTCTTTTTGTTAACCCTCCCCAAAAAGACAGTGTTCCATTAATAGCCAGTCTGTGATTTTAAAACTTGCTGTGTAATACTAAGAAAATGTCAACAGAAACCAAGATTATGGTGTAATAGTGTTCCTTCCAATTGTTCTTTTTGCAGACGATCAATTTCTGTTCATTAACATTCTGGGTTATATATATATATATTATATATATATCTGAGAAACACTTTTCCAAGAGTTACAGGAGTTATTTAAAAATCTTAATATCCCCAAATGGCAAAGCTGCTTATCACATGAAACATAAGAAAACAGGTACAGGAGGAGGTCATTCAGACCACTGAGCCTGCTCCAACAGTTTATTAGATCTTGGCAGGTTTTTTTATTCCGAATGTGCTTCCCTTTCGCCATAACCCTCATCAAACAGATGCCTCGTCTAAAGATCTCTTTCATAATTAATTTAAATGATTACAAAGTGGAGGAACAAATGTCTGAATATTTACAATAATAGTAATCCTTGCCTTTACTGTAACCCCTTTCAATATAACAAGCTGTTGCAAGGCGTAACCCATAGTCTGGGTTGTGAACACATGTTTATATATCCAGGGCTGGAATCCACCTTGATTGGTTTGCAGAGAGATAAGCACTTGCTGCTCAACATCTCCAACTGGTGAAACAATCACTGAATATGTTGGGATGTGTGTCCAAGCTGTGGGAGGAGGATGGTGGCAATTCTCTCACACATTTCCTGTGCTGCACATCAGGAAGCTCACAGGGAGTTCCTGGTACCTGACACCTGCCTAGTGACGGCTCAATCTGCACTTGTCACATGTCAAATGACCAAAGAGTAAATATTCTCTTGGGGAAAGAGGTAAGGGGAATCTCCTTGGAGCTGTGACATGCTTGGCAATGGAATGTCAAAATTAAGTCAATCTTCTGTGGCTGTCTCAGAAGTTTAGTCCCCGAGACAGGCATGTCTGCAGTTCTCCAGGCCACTGCTAATGTCAGACCAGCCAGTCTTAACCTCAGTTAAGAAATGCAATTGGTGCTGGAAACCAATTATGTGGGAAATGTGGAATAAACTCCAGAGATATGGGGAAAAGCTGGATAAATGGAACTGAATTGCTGTTTAAAAGAGCCAGCACAGACACAATGGGCTGAATGGCCTTCTGTGCTGTAAATATCTATAGTTCTACGTTACACTTTCACAGATTGCTTGGCTATTGACGTATGGGATATTATTCATGGTCTGACAAGGAATAAAGTTCATAAACTGTATGCAATGGGCTAGAGATTTAGCCAAGTATGTGAGAACTCCATATCTGAACATGACATCAACTGCATTATTTATCCTCAATTACATCTTGTCCTGTAAAAAAAGAAAGGACTGCACCTTATAATATTATCAGACCCTCCCTCAGCACAACAGAGTTGTTAGCATAGATTCTGAGATCAAACTGTAGTGTGGGGCTCAAAGCCACAACACTCTGGTCAAGCGAGCCAAGCTGTCACTAAAACATTTCCATTTGCATATAAATTTACACAATGCACAGGCTGTGATTGTCTTCTTATACGCCATTAACATTTTAAATACGTTTATTGAAATATATCAGCAACTCACAACTACCCATGCAATACACACCCTCAGATTAACAAAGCTTTAAAATGTACCGACGTGACTTTAGTGTGTAGTATGCAGCAAGCACTGACTTGTAACAGAAGTCACAAACAACAAGTTCTGCTTGCAATCAGATGTGTATCACATTTTTGCTCTGCAACATGAATGATATCTGCTTAGCTTGCTGTAATTATGTGGAAATCCATCACCATGCTTAAGAAATATCCAAACCAGGCAGGTTCTGCATATTTATGCCACCTACACATGGACATTTCTCCAGGTCAGAGTGATGCACTTTGCTTGCATAATTAAAGCGCATTAGATGTAGGCTGGTGAGAGCCAAGGTTTGGGGACCCCAGAATGTGCGTTGGGGTTTAACCAGCTAAAATCACATTGAGAGCACAGACTATCAAGCTGAATTTGTGCAGCATGGTGCTTTGTATGTGAATGTCAGCACCTTTTGTTTTCATTCATTAGGTACCTTTAATGAAACTCTGTCGTGTTTGTGGCAATTACTCACAGATTAATTTTGAACAAAACCGTAAATATTTTTTATTTTCCAAGTACTCAGTAAAATAATGAGCTTCTGAAAATAAAATCAAGACAATGAAAAAAAACGAATGCATAAATTTTCAAAAAAAAATCAGATTCTAAGGGTCATTGACCAAGGTGAATACAAACAAAGCCCACATTTGTTTTAGCCATAAGAGCTGATTCAACAGATGAAATATTTATTGTCCATGTGTCACACTTCATCCTCATAAATAAAGTCTTTATTTTGTTATTGAGCTTTCATGCCCAAATAACTGGAGAGATGCCAGGATTCTCTGCATTCATCCAGAGTCAATTGACAAGATCAATTTATTCATATGTAGAATGCAACCCTCTTAATTTAGAAACTGTATCATTAAAACAAAATGAGAAGAGAACATCAATTTCAGGCAGTCAGCAAGGGAACAAAAAGGTGGAGATTAGGAAACTTTTTTTTGGTCAGGCATGTGCCTGACACTTGCGAACAACCTAGTGAATAAACAGTCAATATCGTTTGGTCTAATGGTGCTTTTCAATGTTCATTTACACTAGTTTTAAGTAAACTGCTATCAGTAGCCTCAGGTATTACACTCAGCCTGATACACTGAGATGAGTTTAAAGCTACACAAAGTAATTTCTCGTGGAGATTTCCAATGACTTAATGCCATACAATTAGCAATAAGGATACTTAGAGATACCTACTTCTTGCAACAATTTTTCTAGTTTTTCCTGTAATTCAAAGAAGTATCTTGATGTGATGTGGCCCAGTCGGGATTTATCCAGGCAATCTCGTGCCAGCTCAATGATCTGATGGTGTGCAAAACTGAGGACTCCATCTGCCAATGGAAGAATGTTGTCAGGAGAGTAGCTGGTGATAATGTCCTGCAGCCTCTCCTCCATCTGGGCTGTGGCCTAAGGATTAAAACAACATGTGTAATGTGTTTTATTGCATTAAGTATAAAAAACAAACGAGAGACATTGCTCTTTGGATAGATATTGCAAATGATTCCAGCACAAAGATGACTTCTCAATTTTATACCACTTAGATGCATATTGACCAGTGTTTTCGGGACTTTTTAAAAAAAAAAGGAGTCATGGTTGAATTTTTTTTGATAAGTGCATGTAAGGAAATGTTTGAAAGACTAATTTCCATTAGTCGTGCATCAAATCCCATCATATTAACTTCTATACAGTAAGTGCTCCTTACATCAGTCCTTTGTCATCAATACGAAGAGCATTTGTAACAGGTAGTACTGATTCTTTGTAAGATAAACAGTGTGAGTTATGTTAATGTTGGCAGACAATATTACACAGTTTATATTGGCCAGCTATGGCACTTTTAAGAATATTTCTTCCTTTATTATTGCTAAATGATGTCAATTCTTAAATTCAAGATCCTTGGCCTTGTTTTTTTAAATGCCTTGCATCACCCCACCTCTGTGACCTCCTGCAATTCCTCCGCCCCACCCATTCCCTATGCTCAGCAAATACCTGCCTCCTCCAAGTCCCTCGGCCAACCTGTCCACCATCTCTGGGTGAGCTTTCAGCCATTCAATTGCCCACTCTGTGGAATTCGATCGCAGAATCCCTCTGCCTCACTCCCCGACTCTTTGCTTTTATAACCCATCTTAAGATACACAATGTGAAAAGCGCTATATACATGTAAAATTGTTGCTTTTGTCAAATTAGATTTGAATTATAAAAAAAGTCTAAATCTGCATACCACAACAGCGCAATATGCAAATGTGCTGTCTCTAGATTCATAAGAACTGATTATAGAAAGGAGTATTGTGCAGCATGAAACTCTTTCTAAACATATTAACGTTTAATGCATGAGATGGTTTTAGCGGCTTAAACTCCAGCAATACCCTAACTCACACGCCGGGCTCCCCAAGCCTTGGCAAATGCCAACCAATTAGGTGAACAGTGTGGGTGTCTCCAGGGAGGAAATACACATTCCCATTCCACACAAAGAGAAATTTCCATGCATGTGTGGAACTATCAGCCTGGTGAGGTCACTCTTAAGCATAACAATGAGTTTTGCATGTGTCAGACAAAAACAAATGTATCGTCTATACAGAATACATTATTCAAACATACGGCATGAAAGTTATGTGCCACTCAGCGTACTGATCATGATTTATATTCACTATGCGTACACTAAGTATTGTTAATGTTGATATTTTTTTTAAAAATTAAAATTAACAGTATGCAAATGTCTACAGTTGAAATACTGACAGTTATATTATGGATAAAGTATCTCACCTTTGGGAATCGCTCTTTGTAGACATGATTCATCATGATAATCTCATTATCCCAGCAGGCTGGTGAACGTCCAGGGCTACAAACAAAACACACAACTTAATTACCCCCTTTTTTGGCTGCATGATTAACAATTATTACTCAAAACGCCCCAAAGCTAACATTGGTAAAGGTGTTGGTCTTATTTTCCAAATTCTCTCCTTTAAGACCATTACAGAACAAATATTTGTGTGTTCAACTCTGATAGCCAGAGTCCTTACAAGTAGTACATTTTGAACAAGTGCTGCATGGTTGTGGTTGCAATGAAACTCATTAAACTAATTATACATTTGCTATTTATCACACCAAACACGCTTTGGTGGTTTTGAGAAAACAAGGTGAATGACTGAAAAGAACAATATCAAGGTTCAAAATGAGACATCAATCAATAGTTACACCATGCCTAGTTCTTATTATAATAACTTGCATTTATATAGCATCCTTTATTCGGGTAGCGTCTCAGAGCGCTTGATAGTGGTGAAGCTTGATGCCGAACTGGGGAGAAGTGACCATAACCACGGTAAAAAAGACATGAAGACAGGGAAGGAGGAGGCAAGGGGGAAGGATTGAGGCAGTGAGTTCCATAGTTTGGGCGCGTAGTGGCACAGCTGGCCATGGTGCAAGGGAGGGGACGAGTGGTGTGCAGGAGGCAGGAGCCAGCTGAGCGAAAGCGGCAGGAATGGAGTGGGGAAAATATGTATAGACTGTAACAGGAAGAAGACTGATGGAGATACATTCCACAGTCTTGGTGAGAAAGGGGGTACAATGCAATCCACTCCATAGTATTGAAATTAACTCAAAATTTGAGACTTGGGTGCAGACTACATACCTAAGGCTCCTGGAGCGTGGCCGCATTGTAGGGGGTCTGCGTCTGTCATCATTGGAAATGGCATCTGTACTACAGAAATGCTTGGAAAGAAAGTGTAGCTCATCAGGAGTTGGCTGATATGGCAGCTGATGCAGTTTCTCCTGAGATGAACAAGATGACTGAAAATATAAAGACAGGGAAAAGTTTAATTTGCAAGTAAGAATTCTCTCTCCCCCGCTCCCCTACTACCTCGGTGCCTCCCAGCCAGGAAATGAAGTAGCTATGGAGTCCCACTCTAGATTGCTGTCCAGTGACGCATGCCAGAAAATATACATGTGAATGTAAAGTGATGGTAAGACCAGAGTTAACAGTGATACTCCCTAGTAGGTAGAACGGCCTGCTGAGAATCACTGGCTAGAGCCACACATGAACATTAGCCACTTGAGCAAGGTATGGAAGATGCCTGTGGAAGTTTACCTCAGGTCAAGATCCTCTGCTCATCCTCAGATCAATAAACTCAGATGAGTAGTGGATAGAAATAGAGGGGGTGGAATGTAGAAAGGTTTACAACAAATCCCAAACAAACCATGTGTGCAATGTGTGCACTGCAGAGCAGTTCAGGTTCAGGCTTGTTGGGACTGCAGAAATGCCATTGGGCAGTGAATCGGTCAAGCCTGAACAATTCGGTTTCTAAAGCTAAATGGAAACATTTACAGACTTTGCTCGATTACCTTCAGTAGTGAGCGACATTTCAGAGTTAGACCTCTAGCTAAGCACCCAAGATCCATGAGCATTGTACATGATGTGTTTAAAGGTGCAGGTCTGATCTGTCACATAACCTCCTCTCCCTCTGGAACTTATGCAAGAAATAACATTCCAAGTGAATATCGACATGAATAAAAAGCATCTGATAAAACAAGCTGACGTTGTTTTAGATGGCAAGCAAAGGGCTCGTTTTTGTAAGGAAACCAAATCCTTTTTCACTCTGTTGGTCTCTATTCTCAGAGGAAATTTGTTGTTCTATTGATGCTGGAAAGAGGTAACAGTCCATTTAGAAGAGATCAAAAAGTACTTACGGATACTGTGGAGCTTGGGGTGTTGGTGCCATAGCCAGATGATGGGAGGGAAGCTAAAGACCAGCGGCGTCCATCAGTCCTACAATTTAGTTTTCAAAATGAGCTTGAATGCCACAACATGCATTTATACAATAATATATTATTATACATTCACATAGTGCTCTTCACGCGCTTCTACCATTACTTACTATTAGAATTATATTGTTATCCACAATATTTTATGGTTTCTTTTACTGTTCCTCCAACCAATAGTGGGAGAGATCTTATACCAAGGACAATAAAATGAAGTTAACAGTGCGGCAAATCCTAAAGTCTCCCAAGTTTGGAATGAAATGATTTGCTGCCTGCTCAACTGAAACAAAACCAAGCACATTGTCCATTTGGCCACTGAAAAATCCTGACAAATCTCAGGACTTTTTAAAAAAAAATAATAAATAACTTGAGAACAAGGCTGTGAAGGGTTGATTGTTGGACTGTACGGTGTCATTGGGGATAAACGTTAAAGCTGGGAGAGCCTGAAAGCACAGGCTGAACACCAGTTTCACAACCAGATGGCAAAGGATTCAACTCCCAAAGCTGCTCATCACTGAGACCCACCAGCTACTGTCAGAACAGTTTATAGTCAGGCTACTTGATGCCTGTGACACTAGAGAATACAAACCCAGGGAGTGGAGGCAGGAAGTAGAAGGACTGACAGGAGTAATGTAATTGGCAGGAGAAACGTAAAAATGAGGGAATGGAAGAGAAAGTGAGTTAATAATAATAATCCTTGCATTTCATATTGCACTTTATCACGTCAAAATATCTTAATGCCCTTCTGCATATTTGTCAGGCTGTCTCGGTTAGTAGCACTCTCGCCTCCAAGTCAAAAGGTTGTGGTTCGAGTCCCATGTTGAGACTAGTCAAGGCTGACAGTAATGCAGTGCTGGAACATGCTGCATTATTGGAGATGCTGTCTTTTGGATGAGATGTTAAACCGTGGATCTATCTGTCTCTGCAGGTGGATGTTAAAGATCGTAAACATTCCATGGCACTATCGAAAAGAGAAGGTCAGCCCACACTAGGCTCCACAACCTATCACGCCCATCCTCGCCCGCCTCCACTGGCTCCCCATCTCCCAGAGGATTGAGATCAAGATCCTCATCCTCACTTTCAAACCCCTCCATGATCTTGCCCACCCTACCTCTGCTACCTTCTAAAATCCTACCAACCCGCCCGCTACCTCCACTCGGTAAGCAATGGCCTGATTCACATTCTCTACCCTGCCCACTCCACCATCGGAGGTCAGGTTTTCAGCTTTTCTGCCCACATTCTCTGGAACTCAATCCCAGAAGAGCTTTGCCTTTCAAGATCCATTTCGAGACTTTTCTCTTTGACCTCATCTTCGGTCATCTTTCCCCTACTCCACCTGAATCCTATCCTCAATTCGGGTGCAAACCCTCAACTGTCAAGCACCTTGAGACGTCCTCCTGATGTGAAAGGTACAATATAAATGCCACTTGTTGGAATTTCTCCCAGTGTCTTGGCCAACAATCTTCCAAATAAAAATTTGTCAATTTTACTTCATGGCTTTTGAGGGGCATTGCTCTGTACAAATTGGCTGAAGTATTCGCCTACAAATACATACTTCGAAACTGCAGCACATTGAGATGTTTCAATGATTTGATAAGATGCTATATTAAATGCAAGGATTATTATTATTTTTGTAGGCAAGCTTAATTTTCTTCCAAAAATAAGGTGTGTCTTTTCTGAAAATGTACTTTTAAGAATATAAATTGTTCAAACTAAATAAAATTCTTCCTGCACCCCAAATATTGGCTATTCTCATTTACACATTAATATGCAAACAACATTTCCAATCTGCAACTAATTTAACTGCAGATCCTCCTCATTTTCTCTCACCCCCCTCCCTAATATGAGCCCAAGCAGCATGTTTTATGTTTTTTCAAAAGAAAATTCACAAATGCATGTAAAAGAAAAACAACAGCAAAAGCCCCAGAGTAATGAAAATTAAGAAAAAGCAAGAAACCTTTGCAAAGTTGTTCACTCCATGTTCTAAGCGTGTATTAAACTTACAAATCCCGATAACATAAGTGTGTGTTAAACATACAAAATACTTATAGAATTCAGGACAAACTCCTAATCTTCCCCCTCCAAAAAAAAAGAAAATAGTTTACCAATATAAACAAAGAAGGAATGTGAGTTTCCGGGTTGTAAAATGCAAGTCAAAAGAAAGCCTGTCAAAATTACTTTCAAAATAGGAACAATTTAAAAACCCTAACCCACATCAGATTACCTGTCAGGTCTGTGGCCATGACTGAAGTAAATCATCAGGTAGTTGTAGGGTATGAAAGAACGACAAGAAAAACACAAAGAGAACAGAAAAGGCAAAATTTACAGCTTTGAGTCATTTAAATATGTCTTAGTAGGATTGTGAAAAAGTCATTACAACACTGGGATAGTGAACCTTTTCTAGTCCTTAGAGTCTCTACAACACTGACATGTCAGAATGAGTCGTTCAGAGTGATCATCAGTTCTAATCAACTGGTCAGCAAGGTTAGTTTCTTCCCAGATAAATTCTTTGCTGCACTTGGCCAACATTGCCAATTAGACTATATTGTTTTAATTATATCAATTAAAAACACTTTCAATATTGTCCTGGGGTGGCAATAAAAGATTCATTCAAAACTGTTTGAGATAACCCCGCCTTTTAATAAAACAAGCATTGCGGTTAATTCCTGCAACACACAGCTAAAACCAGAATCGATGCATTGTACGGGTACATATTGTTCATATGTTCCCATCCTTTGCAAATAAAAGCTGTAGATTTCCCTCCCGAGTTTTTTCTTTCACTTACCTTCGAGCGAATGAAAAATGAGCTGAGGCACTGGGAGAGAAATTTCTTGGGCTGTCTTGAGGGCTGCTTCCTGCTAAAGAGATGAATACCCTTTGATCAGCGTATTTAGCCTTGACAATATTTTTAGAGTAGGAACTGCCCGAGAACTGTATGCTTCTTACTGTAAACTTAAACGGCACATTTGTTTAAACATACTCTACCTGTTGCTATTGTGCTGCTCAAGCAGTGAAGCTGACATTTAAGGATCATTCCCAGTGCAGATTCAACAACTTTGATCCTCTGCTGCGGTGTAATACCATACTCCAATTTACTCATTCTTACCCAATAATCTTGTTGTCCTCTTTTTGCCCACAAAATACACAGACGAATACCTATTTGAAAAGAGATGGGGAGTTTCTCCCAGTGTCCTGGCCTACAATCCCCCAAATAAAATTGGTCATTCGTTTCATGGCAAATTGTGCTGACGTGTTCACCTACAAATACACTCCATTTCACAATAAATTCTGTGAGGCGTTTTGAGACGTTCTTCTGATGTGATAAGGCACTATACCAAATACAAGGATTGTTATTATTAAAACCATCTCTCTTTTAACTTCTCTATGAGAAGGAAGCATTCCCTATCTTCACAGCTCTCCGTGGGAAGAAATACTTCCTGACCTCAGTTCTACTTGTTTTAGTTCTGATTTGAAGGCTGTGCCACTACCAGCAATGGATCACTCCGTCAGCTAATTTTGCACATAATGTTTCACAAGCACCATGAAGTCAACAATCTGGGAAGTTTTGTCAAGGACACCAAGAAACACTCCCATCTCTTTTCAAACAGTGCCATGGGATCTTTAAAGTCTGGCAGATGGGACCTTGGTTTAATGTCTCCTTTGAAGGACAGCAACTTCAACAGTTCAGCCCCGATGTGAAAGACACTATATGATGTACTGTAAATTATAATGCAATCTCAAACTAGAGGAAGATGAATAAACACTAGTGTTTACTATTCAAAGTCCAAGTCACACATGAATGCAGAAGCTTAGCAGCTGACCACTGGGCTGCCTAAATAAACACATTTAACAGTGAATCAGACAAAAACAAACCATTGGCTTTGCAACAAAACAATTTTTCTACGCTCTAGATGTGATCGGCACATTAAAAGTAACAATTAGAATTAATTATAGTCTGACCAAACTGTCATCCTAGTCTACATTTCATTTTGATATATTTTAGCTCAAAGTTAATCATTGCTGGTAAACATGACAATTTGAAACCAGCAATTACTTCAGAGCGAAACAAACATAAACTGGCCAGTTATACTGGCAACTAAAATACAGTCAGACTGATGCTACTGCAGTTTCTTACCTAAGAAAATGGAACAAGACAGGGAAGTGGAATGCATTTCTTTTTTTGTTTCTGTGGTCCAGGGAGTACCTTAATTTGAGAGTTCCTTGTCTCAGGAATGAGTATTATTTTCTTCAATTTCTAAAGAGAAGATTTTGAACAAAAAGTAGTTTCTCTAGATGGTTATACTCCCCTTTATGGTTTATACACGCACTCCAGTGGACCAACTAGCCTATTTTCAAAGGAAATGCGGAGTGACATTGGGATCTAAAATGTTCTCCAGCAACAATATCACAGTGTAACTGCTTGCAAAAGCACCCATAAAATACAGTATATTTTCAGGCATTCCTCTGAACAAATAATAATAATAATCCTTGCACTTGGTATAGCGCCTTATCACTCATTAGAGCTTCCCAGGAATTACTGTGAAATGGAGCGACTGAGACTTGGGCCCTGATGAGAATTTGTCTTGAGCCAAGGTCTCTTCAATCAAATGACTTATTGCCTATAAAATACATTCACCTACAAAATACACAGTCACCACACTTCACAGTAAAAATGCTTTGAAGCGCTTTGAGACATTTCAAAGACATAAGGCGCTGTATAAAATGCATGGGTCATTATTATTACGGTCTGAGAAAATGTTGTTTACACTGAAGGTACATTTGTCAATGGACACAGGGGGAATGACACTTTTGAGTAAAGCCCCAAATTCCTAAAGTACTAAAACCCCGAATTCTACCCGAACCCTAATCTTAACATGTAAAACCATTTAATCCTAAAGATCACAAGAAAAAGATCACATCCTCTAGCTCAGTGGTTAGAGCACTCGCTTTGCAAGCGAGAGACCTGGGTTCGATTCCTGGCAGGGTGAAACCTTGGGCAAGTTTCCTTACTCCACACTCCTGATAATAATCCCTCAAGAAAATAAAACAATAATAAATTGGTGACTTCAAACCACGACTGTTTGTGGGACATTGTTGTGCGCAATTGGCTGTCGCATTTTGCCCACAGATATACAGTCTATTCACTTTACAATGTATTCTGTGAAGCGCTTTGAGACGTCCAGAAGACGTGAAAAGCGTTATAATAATAATAATAATAATCCTTGCATTTGATATAGCGCTTTTCACGTCGGGAGGACGTCCCAAAGCGCTTCACAGAACACACTGTAAAGTGAATTGACTGTATATTTGTGGGCGAACGCGGCAGCCAATTGCGCACAGCAATGTCCCACAAACAGTCGTAGATTGAAAATGACCAATTTAATTATTGTTTTTAGTTTTGGAGGGATTATTATTAGGCGTGTGGAGTAAGGAAACTTGCCCAAGGTTTCGCCCTGCCTGGAATTGAACTCAGGTCTCTCACTTGCAAAGTGAGTGCTCTAACCACTGAGCTACAGGACTCCACTATATCGAATGCTATATCGAATGCAAGGATTATTATTATTATTATTATTACCTACCATTTATTTGTTCATCTAGCAAATACAGGCCCAAGCAAATGGTTCATTACATCTACACAGGAACAATAACCCAAGATGCCAAAGATACCAAACTGAAATAAGCAACAAGCAAACCCTTTTTGCAAAGGAACATTAAACTGAGGTAATAGGTGAGCATTGATAATATTTTAATCAAGTATACACTGAGGCCAGAATATTACACATGATCAACCCTGAAGATCTCATATGATAAATTCCAACTGACAGCAACACACAACTCTCTTCACTGACTGACATCCGGACAACAGAAGACAATAGGAGATTCATGTTCACTGATATCACAAAGCAAGGCAAATATTACACTAAACAGGGTAAAGTCTCATCAAAGTAGAATTTATTATAAGGGTATTCACATATAGGGAGTATATAGTACATAATGCTTTAATTTAATAGGTACTTCCACTAACCCACAAACTACAAATGATTCAGAACTCCACCGCCCGTATTGTCTTCCACACTAAACTCCATACTCCCTCACACCAGTCCTCGCCAGGTTCCAATGGCTCCCTATTCACAGAATGGATCAATTTCAAAACCAACCTCTTTGACTGTGTTTTTGGTCATCTTTCTCCTCCTCCCACCACCAGTATGGGTGCCCAGCCAGCAGTGTCGAAGGTGTTATATGAATGTAAATTGTGTTGCATATAGTGTCTAGCCTATTTCATTATTGCAGTAAAACACAGGACGCTCCAGAAAGCCAGACTAGTGTGCAATTGTGGACATGATTTTTACACCTCACTAAGCAGAGGCAGCATGCGGCAGTCCCATTAAAATGTTTCAATACTGCACAATGTTAAAGATCGATCAATCCTATTGCAAATTCTAGTTTCAGTTCTATCCTTGTATTTTACTTTTAAGTGAGAATGGAATGCTTCAATAGTTTAATTTGTGCTCTGTGTAAATGTACTATTAATTATTTGAATTTGTCCTGATTGAATTCCCTCAGCGCAAGATATTGTTCCTTTCTAGTTGCAGAATAATAGCACAGCTATCCACCTTCAATACCTATATTGCTATGCTGCAATGATGTAATCAGCTTCTTTGGATGGATGGCTTCATACAAAAAGAGTCTCAATCGGCCAGACAGCATTGAAATTGATTGTATTCCAGCATTTACCCTGAACATTATGTTCTTTAAACGTAAGAACGTATTTTATCCATTACAGCTTTGTCTGTTGCTTTTGATCTTTTTGGTTAAAAGTTATGATCAGAGGGAATTAAGAAACAGTGTTAGCTTCAGATGAATGAGTATCAACTGATACCGATTGTAAAGCTTTCAGTTTCCTTGCATTTTACTGTGTTAATAAGTGTATTTATAAAGTACTACACAGCTTGCTGTAGTACTGTATATCTGTGTACCATTGGCAGGCAGGCCTTCAGCCACTCTGCCCCCACACTCTGGAACGCCATCCGGCAGTCCCTCCACCTTGCCCCCTCCCTTGCCTCTTTCGAGACCGGTCTCAAGACCCTTCTCTTTGACCGTGCCTTCGGTCACCTTCTCTCCGCTCCTGCCTTCCTCGATCCTGACTCCCAGCTCGGGTCCAAAACACTGATTGTCCAGCGCAATGGGATGTCCTCCCGACATGAAAGGAGCTATACAAATGTAATTTTGTAATTGTAACTATAAAACAAAAGGTAACTTTATAGTCCAAATAATCATTTCTTTGCCAACATTTCTAAATAATTATAAAAATGTATAACTATAAAAAATAATTACAGAAAGTTTGCAAAAATAAGATTGCCTGATTTACAAAAGCATGTCCAAAAAGGATTGAAAAAGGACAATAGAACACATCATTCCCACAATGTGGTAACACACTGTAATACTGTTATGAGACAACGGTCTGCTTGACCTTTACCTCTCTCTTCTCATGGTTCAAGGTTTAATGCACCCGTCAACAAAGCAGGAAATAAATCCCAAAGAGAATTCAATTTGAAAATTGTTCCAGATCATTTTCAGTCCATATGGGCAGCCTACGTTTCTCACCAGAGCCCTGCTGTTTCTAGATTAAAACTGACTGTTATGCAGTTTAAGTCTTGAATTGTCTTGGTATTGCAGTAATTAGCTTTGGATGTTTCTGCTGGGATTGACTAAACCCAAGTGCCAGTCATGTATTGACGAGGTAATGAACTATGCTACTTCAAGGGAGAAACAATACATCAGACACTTAATTTGCATATTTTTATATAAAAATAAAAACTGTTTTTCTGTGATTAAAAACTGAGTTTGAAATATGAAG